TCGTGATTGATGATCCGCTTCCGACGTCCGACACTTGCTCGTCGATTGTGCGCGGCGTCGACTACCCTGGAAACGACCTCAAGAGCATCACAGTGTCGGGATCGGACCAGGCGCAGACGTTTGCGTGTTGCGACGCGTGCGTCAAGACCCCGAGCTGCCTCGGCTTTGTGCTCCACGAAGGCAAGTGTTCGTTGAAATGGGTCTTGCGCGGCAAGACAGAGCTCAACGGCGCTCTTTCGGGCCAGTACACCGTGTCCAGACCCGGACGTCCCGCGTGCCTCGCCTAACCCGTCGCGTCAACCTCGTGTGTCCGTTTGTCCAAGGGTCTCAATGTCCATCGCCGTGTCCATGACGCAGAGCTTGCATAGTTATTACATGTCGACACCAATAAGGTCTCTATCTGTTCTTCTTCTGTTGCGACGTGCAGACGGACCTAAAGTGCTCCATAACGCTATAACTCCATAGCACTGCGATGTGTCCGTTTGAAGAATACGACGTTTGCTTTTGGCAGCCGATCGACGCCCCTGACATGCAAGAGTGCGGCAGAGTCTACGAGATCAAACCAAGCTTGTATAGCACTGTTCAGTCGACAACTAGAGAAACGTGCGTGTGCTCACAGGATCGGCGTAGTCGACCATCTCCGAGTTGGGCAGCGGCGCTTGCGTGTCATCAAAGAAATTTGGGTCCGAACACTGTTTCTTGAGGGGCGGGGCCAGCGATACCTACGCACCTACTGACAGTATATGTCATTTCCGACAAATGTACCTTGTGACGCGGGGCGACAAAGCCCAGCGACTCGGACTCGTCGCCAAGAAAGTGATCGAACTGCGCGAGCGCGTTGTTTCCGCCAACGTCCTTCGTCACGCCGATGTCCATGGGGGCGTCCTCACTGGGGGTATTCCCACTGGGGGAGTTCCCACTGGGGGCGTGCTTGATGGGGGTCACCGCTGTCGCATCGTCCCGGCGTCGCTTGATCGGCAGCGCCTCGGGCACCGGCATGAGGCGTCCGTGGATCATCGATGTGACGAGCCAGTCGGCTTGGACAATGCGTAGTCTCCATTTCTGCGCCTTCTCGTACTTGGGACCTACCCGGATCTGTATCAACTTGACAATATGTGGCAAGGTCTACCTTGCGGCGCGCTGCACAAGAGATGCGTGTTGCGCTGCGAGAGGCGCGGCGTCACGCGCGCACCTGCCAGCTGCAAAAGCGTCGCCAGCACAAGCCGCTCCATGTCCATATACATGGAAATGCTCGCGACCACGGACCTGGACAAAAATCGTCCATTTTAAAAGACGAGTCGTAGTGTGACGTACTGAAAGCATTGAAGCGGCAGGTTTGGAAACACACTTTGCGTCGCGCTGGACGCGAGACTGAAGAGCGCATGGGCGCGGCGCGGGTAAAAGCGCTTCTCCTACTCGATCCGACTAAGTACTGAGTCGAGCGCAACTAATTGAGGGACCTCGAGGCAGCAGTGGACCCAGAGCTCGGTCACGAGCTTGGCGTGCGGCATGGCATCTTTGAGCGACGCCAGCATCCCATCGGGCAGGACGGCGCCGTGGCACACGACGATGAACGCGATGCGCTTGAGGTCGTTGGCGTTCAGAATGCGCGGGTCGGTCGTGTTGATCTCCCGCGTGCGACCGCCGGCCGCAGCGATCGCCGTCTTGACAGCAGACGCTGGTTTCTAGTATAAAAACGATGAGCAACGAACTTTGAGAGTTTGATATCACGCACATGCTCCATCGGCCACGTGCGCAGAAGCAAGCTCAGGATGCCGGTGAAAAGACCCTTGGGCGCTTCGTCAACCTTCTAAAACCTGCGTCACAACGCATAACCCCGCATGGAAGGTTGGTACCTGCACGGGGGGCGGGGTGGCTTTGGGCGGCGGCGACGGGCGCGCAACGGGGGGCGGTCGAAATACCTTGGGTGGCGGCGCGATAGGGACAAAAGCGCTCACGGGAAACTGCGCTTCGGGGCGACACTCGAACGCCAAGCACGACTCGATGAGCCACTTGGGCGAGACGACTTCGAGGCTGCTGTTGGTGTCGCTATAGTGACGCCAATTCCTACAGACGCACCTCGCTTACGCGTTCCATCGCATGGTGTACGTACCCAAGTACGTCGGCGACGATGTGCGTGACGCTCGGGTTGTAGGCGTCGTAGCGCGTGCCCATGCCAAAGCGCACGAGCCACTTCATCTTGAGCAAAAGATCCTGGGAAAAGCCCGGCAGCCACAGGACGCAGCCATCCAAAAAGTCGCCTGGGTGCACATGTCAGCGCGAGACCTTCGAGAAGAACGTACCGCAGGGTTCGTCGCGAAGCAGCGCAATGCATTGCGTAAGCTCGTCGCTGAGCTTCATGCTGGTACTTGGTCCGTCGTCGAGAGGGACGTCGTCGTCGGCGAGAACGCGGTAGTTGTCTTCGTCGACCAGCGCCTTGGCCTCGACACAAGCCGCCATCCATTGCAGCGTCACGACTGGAATACCATGTGCGATCGCTGCGTCGTACTTGGCGCCTCCTGCTTGCTATGCACAATGACTGCATGAGGCGGAGGGACGTAGGACAATCTCGGTACTTCGGCCAGCAGATGTGAGGTGGTTCCGAAGATGAGGTCGGTCTGGTACACGGCGCGATGCTCGTCGCAGAGCTGCTCGACCATCTCACGGTCTTCCATGTATAGACCTATGCGAAAAAGCCCTGTGAATGGCGACGCAAGCGATGATGACGAATGCACCTGTGGTGCAAATACAGAGGCCTTCGAGAATGCCAAGCTCGTGCGCCGCCGTGGGCACGATAGAGCCTGCGCGCGAGCACTCGACGAGCCAATCGGGCTTGACAACGACTATGTTGGCGGCAACCGCAGCCTTGTACTTGTCGGATCCGACGCCCTTGGCGAGGAGGTGCGTGACGCCGACGTGGAGGTCGTCGTCCCAGCCCATGCCGAGCTCGTGCACGAGGCCCTGGGCGCCCGTGTTCTCCTCTGGCGTCAAGCCCGTACTGCATACGATGTACTACACATGATAGAACGTGAGGCGACGTCGGCGCCGACGTGACTGCCACCTCGGCGGCCGCGGGTGCCATTGGAACGCGGGACGACCTTATCCGGCTCAACACAATCTCAGAGGTGAGAATGCATTTTTCCCCGGCAGTTACGACACGCAGATAAAGGCGATACCAGCTCGCCGTGGCCCACCGCCAGAGACAGCTTCTGCGACCCGATGCAATACCCTCAACGTTGCAGGAGGTGCCTTCGCGGAGCTGTGTACGGCAAGCTCCAAGGCTTGCGCGATGGAGCTTGCCCGATACGTCCATCTGACACGTTGATGCGCCAGTTTGCACTTGCAAGACGTCGCTAGCTACTCGCCAAAGACATGACGTTGACGGAAGACGCAGCGAGGGCCAGGGACCCTGCGACAACGGTGCTCCGCGCTTTCCTCGAGCTTTTGTTGTCATCGCCACCGAGAAATTCTCGTATGGCATTGACGAGAAGGCGGCGATTCAGCTTCACGGCCCGTTTTCTGAGCCTTGAGTCATACTTCTCTGTCCAGACCGGTGGCGACGACCGCTCATCATGTCCACAGAGCTCCACTGAGCGTCGCTCGAATGTTTGTCGTCCCACGCTGTCTCACAAACATCGATTTTGAGGCAACCACATTGCAGCAAGCTGGCCGTCATGGGCATGAATAGCTGTTTTACTACACGGCAGATCCCATGCGCGTCGACGAAGAAGGCGCAAGAGAGAACACAGTATTGGTAGTGCAGCAGCGAGCGAGCGCTGTTCAAGGATCCGGATACACTGGGCTGTTACACGCGGGTATCCGGAAAGTCAGCGTCAAAAAATTGGGAACCAGGAGCGTGCACAGTTTTTTCGCCCGTGGTTCGACCGAGGACGCATGCCGGGCATGAACGGGATCGAGATCAACATGGGCAGCCGCGCCTTCGAGGAAGCGTCCGAGTGCGCGGTCTGCGCCAAGAACTTCCACGCCTTCCGCCGCAAGCACCGCTGCAAGGTACATGATCCATCCATCTCCATGGCCTCATTGGCGGTGCCAGAGCTGCGGCAAGGCCGTCTGCCGCGCCTGTGCGACTGCCCACAAGAAGGCGACGCATGGGCTCTTGGGCCATGGCGACGACGGGTCCCGCATTTGCGACATCTGCGTCCAGAACGAGCGCGCCGAGCAGTTGGAGCGCATGCGCATTGCCGAGGTCGAGCACGCGCGCGCCCGTCAGCAGGCCAACATGGAGCGCATGCAGCGCGAGCGCGACGAGGCCGAGCGTCTCGCGCAGCGTGAAGCGCACAGAAAAAAGGTACGCCAGAGAATGGCCATGGACAGTGCTCACGGAAAGGCGGCAGGTCGAAGCGTACAACGCGTTGGTCCGCAAGCACTTCGGCGACGCTTTGCCAACGGTCACGCGGCGGCGCAGCTTTGACCATATTTATCCGCCATCGGACATCACGGCGCTCCACCTGCAATGGCTCGAGTCGCTCGTCGAGCGGTCGACCGATATCGTTCTGTGCGTCGATCCTGAGCTCCTGTAAAGCTCACGATCTCATTCCATCCTAGGCTGCACGAGAAGCCCATGATCACACAACTCGAGTCGGTTATTGAGGAGTGCGCCATTTGCCTCGAGATCCTCGAGCCCGGCCATGCCATCTACACGACGGCGTGCGGTCACTCGTTCCATTGGAGCTGCCTCAAGGAGATCAAGAGTTCCGAGTCGTCCAACTCGGACCAGTGCCCGTCGTGCAGGTACCTTGCAGCGTCAATATTAGTCGGCTGATGGACATCTTGCCTAGATCCAACATGAGCGAGGTCCAGATCAAGAAGGCCTGCGACCACCCGCGCGTTCGCGCAACACATTCGTTCTGCCGAGACTGCGGCGAGCGCGTGACCACGGCCGACGTCAAGGCGCGCGCGGACGAGGCCAGCAATTCGGCGCCGACACCCAACCCTGCGCAAGCTGCGAACGGAGCTACGTACCGCGCGGGGTCGCAAGGCGCCCTCGTGCAGTGCCCCCAGTGCCGCATCCAAATGCGCGTCTTGCCCCACATGTACAACATGTACGTAACTGTATATGTATCTTCGTCGTTAGCCGAGCATCATGTTGTACTGTAGGCGTGTTGCATGCCCATCGGGTCACATGTTTCAGGTGCAGGTCGCGCCGACGACGCAGTCGGCGAATCGGCCCATGGGCAATGCCCCGCGCAACCCGAACACCGGCTACCCCGGGGCCAGTTCAAGCTCGTATTTTTATCGATCATAGCGCGGCAAGCGTCCACTCGGTGCAGGCAAGTGGAACCGTGCAGTCGAGTCCATGGCGCGCTCTGCGCCTTCATTCCTCGTATATCAGAGAATATAATTTGCTTAGGTTGATACGACCGTCGCCGTCTTGTCGTGCTTGCAGCTACTTGACGGTTTGCAGGATCTTGTCGGCTTCGGCCTTGAAGTCGCGGAGGCTCTTTTGCTTGGCCTTGTCGAACACTTGCGTGGTATCCTTGAAGATCTGGGTGTGTAGCTTTTGGACTTCCCTACACGGATATCGCCATGAGTCGCGTTCCAAGCACTCGAATAAAGCTGCCCACTCCATTTCGTCGGCAGCCACGTCAGCCAAGCGCTTCAATCGCTTGGTGCATTTCTCGTAGATGGCATTGTTGACCTGCTGGAAGAGCTCGAGCTTCTGGATCGTCTCCTCGATCTCGGCGTCGATGGACCGCAGGAGCTTCTCGTAGTTGCCTCGCATCGTCTTCTCGACCGAAGCCTTGTTGAGCTCGAGCACACGACGCATCTCGTTGGCGCATGCTTGGACCTTGGGGTGCATGGGCGCCGTGGGCGCGGGCGCGGGGATGCTCCAGGCGCTGGTCGTCATGTCGATGGGGTTGGCGTAGCCGGCTTGAGTCATGACGACGGCAGGTTTCCGCTTTGGTGTTCGGGGGTGCATCGCTCGGGGCTTGGGAGGACAATCGGGAACTGCCACGCTTTGCGCGCGCGATCTTTAATCCGGATAAACATGAAACTGTCTGGGGAATACAACTTGATGTTTGTATGTTCATTGCGTTTTGTCCGGATAGCAAACGCTCACTCGAGAATTTGCGCGCGAAAGCAGAGATGGACGCGCTCCATGGCGCCGAGGACGACGTCGAGAAGAAGCGCCACATGAAGAACCCATGGAAGGAGTCGTACCAGTCGCTTCTTGGCTCTTCCTTCGGACCTTCCAGCGACATGGCGCCGGCGCCGACCCAGGAGCGCCAGCGTTCCGTCGACCTGCAGCATGGTAACCTCGCCGGCAAAGTGACATGCTACATGCACATTGTATCGTAGAGATCAGCAAGAGCTCGCTGAACGTGCATGTCCGATTGGGTCGGATGCAAGTATGGGAAGCTGGGAATGCGATCGTGCTTGCGTAGAGCTTTTGCAGCGCCAGATCGACGACTTGGCGAAGGCCAGCACGAATGTGCGAAGTCAACTTGCGTTGGAGAGCCATGTCTCACGCCAAGTAGATGGATTCCCTACTTGGCAAGAACCCGATGAAACGCGCCCCAAGAAGTAGTGCAGGTCAGCATGAGAGCGCCGCCGAGCAAGTCGAACCCGACGACGCCAGCTTGATCGATGCCCTCGCGGTCATGGTGGAGAGAATCCACACGCACCCCGACCTTGCGCGAGACGTGCAGCTAGCATCGTGGCAACAAGCTCTGCACATTCCCAGAATCGATTGGGGACAATTCCAGGGCCTTGCTCTCGACGATGCCCAGTTCGATCGACCGAAGCCGTTTACCGACTGCTTTAAGGAGGTTCCCGAGTCTCATGACGCGGGCAAAGAAGCTTTCTGTGCGCTGTGTATATGCATGTCGATCTTGTCTCATGGTTGCGTAGTCGTCAAGTGCTTGAAGAGCATCAAACCCTTTGTCATGGACGACTTTGTCCAGATCAACGACAGTCTCGACGACGGTATACTGCTTTATCGGAATAGCTTACCTGAATGACCAGGTCTAGATACGGTGAACGATCCAATGGGGTCGATAGAAATGGACTATGACATGCCCGACCCGCTCGACGCCGATGATGCAGAGCCTTTCGACCTCGACGCACCAATGATTGATGAGCCTCAACCCTTCAGCGACCAAAATATGATAGATGACAACCAGCTGCCCAGGTTTATTCTCAATTGCTGAGCGATGCTTTTCAACACAAACGTAGAGATGACGGCATCGAAGACATCTCGGACATTGAAGATTCACGACCACACATTGCACAAGCAGGACGTGCCAATGCACGCCCAGCAAGTTTGGCGTTTGAGCCAGCTCTCGAACAAAACAGCCCCTCGCAACCCCATACGGACGACGTCGGCTCAATTGAAGGACCAGGCGTGGACAATTCGTCGCTACAAGCAAAGATTCTCCAGGCATTCCAACGAGCCAAAGACGCTTCACAACGGAGACCAAAAGCGCTGAAGCACACAAAGCGGTACAGTGGCTCTGCGAGTATGACACAATGTCTAAAAATGACATGCGTAGGGCAACTCCAGAACAGGTTGTTTGCTCTCCAGTTCTATCCGCAGCTTATTTAGTTTTCGTGATAGTTTCGAAAGCCACTACAGCACTTTTTCCCATCGGCAAAGGCCAACGCGTCAGCTATTACCAACCCCATCTTGCCGGCGCCAATTTGCCTTCCCAAGTCAATTCGCGATCTGCCAAGTACCGGCTTTGTCCTTGAAACAAGTGGCGGCCTTTCCCAACTGCAGTGCCAACTTTTGGCCCAGTTTCCGATTCCAGCAACAGTCCAAACGACGTGCACGTGTCCGTGGAGGCTTTGTGAAAGCACCGCGCATGGTACGTCTCTGCCCATTGGAAATCCAATCCATACCAATCTGTAGACACCGAAGGCGACGTCGATATGGGAGGCGGCGACGCCAGCGAACATCTCTTACCGGTGATGCACCTCTACATGGCCGCAAAGACAGTATACATAGCGTTGTTGTGCAGGTCATGCCGGCTGAGGCTGAAGCTGAGCATCCGGTTCCGGTAAGTTTTGTAGGGTTATGAAGGTCGTCAAGCGAAAAGCCCGACTGTTGTAGAGTGTGGTCATGGTGGCGACACCGAGCGCGACTTCAGCTCGTCCTCGCTCCAGCAGCTCCAGTCTAATTGAACCCAGCTTGAAGCGATTGCGCACGGTGGCTCGACCTTCCCGTCCAATGTCGCTCAAGATGGTCATGGAATTGGTGACGACGGAAGTCGAGAAGTCTGCATCGACGACACAAACGAGGTACTTCCACTCGGTGCACACTGATGCTACTGGTTATCACACGCATCTGTAGTTTTCTGTCCAGTATATTGGAATCATTTGAAGGACAAGTCACGCCCCAGCGGTGCGTGACGATGCTTATATCTTCAGATTTTGATCTCAGGTCCTCGCTAGGGCATTTGTCGCGCTTATCTTTCTGGCGTCACGCTCCAACGACAACGTACGGAGCCATAACATGCTCGTCTCTGACTCGTTGTGAGCTTTAGCATCTCCATCTCAAGGTCACGAGCATGCGCAACTACTCGGACGTCAAAATTCAACTTGGCCATGACGAAGCCTCGGCAGTTACAGGTCGTTTTCCAGGGTATACCAATTAAAAAGGGAGTATTGGCTCGATGCACCATGTCGATGCCTTGGAAGATATCACAGTCGACGCCGATGCTCAATCAGCTCTATCCAGCGTCCGAAAGGCAGTCCACACTTCTTCCTTGTGAGGCAGGACAAGCTGCGTTCACTCTCGTTGAAGAGGACGATTGCTCGTCAGTCGCAGAGAGTTCGGTTTCCGAGCCACCCGAGAACGAGCCCCTCAATGAATTTGTCCAGATCAGCCGCACGGTGACGACCAACGCCGAGTCTTACCGAACCTTGGAGATGTACGAATGTCGACTCTCCAGCTCTGAAGGCAATTTTTGTGGATTATTAGTCTGAACCGAAATGCTGTTGTCAAGCTCCGCGACCAAGCCAAGCTGATCGAACGCCTCAAGAGCGAGAAAGTTGCCTTAGAAGAACGCGTTCGGAGCCTTCAGCAAGACGTCCAGCTCAAGCAGCAGGTACACACTGCCGATGACATACATACCGTCATACTGGATATGTAGATGGGGCACAGCATTGCGCTCGCAAAGCGTGGGCCTGAGCGTAACTTGCCACAGCTCGACACGGGTCGAAACGAAGGCATCTCCATCCGTACAGAAACACGCACTAAGCTCGAGCTAAAACATGTCATAGCTCGCTCGCCAGCACGACCACATTCAACACCCGCGTCCAGTCCGCGAGGTTGTGCGCAAATATTTTCGTACAATGCACGAGACGACATATATAGGCGCCTCTCCACGTGCCGTCATGTCGCCTGATCGCAGTGCAGCGATGACACCCACGGAACTTCGGGAAGTGCAAGGTTTGCGTTTAAAAGTGCACCATCTCGAAATCGAGAAGAAGAAACGCAACGACGAGTTTACCGCGCAGACTAAAATCTACGCTCGAAAGGTGCAAAAGCTCGAACAAGAGGTATCGATTGTTGCATGTATCAGCGCAGAGAAATTAAATCGGTGATGTAGCTCGCAGAGCTTGACACCCGTTTACGCGAGCGCGACACGCAGATTCGAATGCTCGAAATACGAGCGCAGCACCAAAGCCAAGAGCTACATGGTAAATTACATGCGCCTTCACTTTGGAGATCAACGAATGGACCTATAGGCAACCTCGTGTCGCCACGTATGCTCACGGACGCGATATGGGGCAACGTCGTACCGCTAAAGACGCATGTCGAGCCCGTGCATACAAAGTCCGATGTTGGTGCAGCATTTGACGAGCTCTTGACAAGCAAACTCCTCGACACGCTGCAAAATCTGCCGGGGCACTACACGAACCAATGGCTTCATGAAGTCAAGGTATCGCTTCCTTCACAGCATGGACTCTGATCTCTCTTCTAGGAAACCGCAACAAAGCTAGCGGTTGTTCACGCAGGGTTCAAAGCTCTCGCCGGGTCTTTCCAACGTGCAGCAGCGAGCACGAGCTTGTACGACCTCGTGCAGCTCATGTCCACCGAAGCGCTCGCGCTCGTTGGCGCCGAAGAGGTTGCCTGCATGACACACGCATCAATTGGGTCAAATGCGTCGTAGGCATTCGTGTTTGTCGTCGATCAATTCCAGAAGAACGAACTGTGGTGTCGCAGCATGCGCGGTGACGGGGAGCTCGTGACGTCGCGCTTCCAGATCCCGCCCGTGTCTGTCGCGCTGCAATCGTCCTACAGCGAATACATGGCACATCAACCTGCAAAGCACACGCACCACAAGTCGACCGTGCGGCGCTATTTACCGAGATGTCGCTGAAATCTCATTTAGACGCCCGCGATACCAGGACGTACCGAGTACCACCGTGCTGAAGCGTTCGTTGGCGCATCTGTGCCCGCGGTCGTACTTCCACACGCTTTGCTACATACAGCGCCGGGTTTTGCGCCTTATGCGTATCACACGCGCGAGACGCTCAACATTCCTGGCTGCAAGATCGCGTCGCATCCACTCTACTCGGGCGACTCGACAAGCACGGACCGGCTCATCGCACTAAAGAGCTCGGCGACGCTGCTACTGCCCATCTGCAGCTCCGACAGTTTGGAGCCGATTGCGATTTTGCAGGTTCGCCATCAGCGTTTTCGATAAATTGTGCCGATAATGGCGTTGTAGGTGTGCGGGAAAACCCAAACGTTTCGTGGCATGGGCATCGAGGTCGAGGTTGAGAACTGCCGCCCCTTCTCACACGAAGACCAGCTGCTACTCGCTGCCTTTGCCAACTTTTGCGGTGGAATGCTAAAGAAAGTGATGAGCTTTGCCGAGCTCGAGACCAACCGCCGCAGCGAATACGTGGGCTTCTTTCTAGACAATGAATGCCATGTCGTCATTCGGCGCGTAGGAGCTCTTGAGCTTGTCGCGACAAATCTTCACGTGCCTCGACTTCAAGAAGCTCTCAATGCTCGTTATGAAATCGACCAAAGAACTTCTCGACACGGGTAGAGGACCCCGCATCACGACCGTAGTGAGCCCAATTGTATCTTTCTTGTAGATCGCTGCACGCTGTTTGTCACAAAGATGACGTCGCCGACAGGTATATACATCCTAACACGGCGTCTCTAACCTCGGTACTAGAGACGGTGCTGAGTGCATGGCAGTCAGACATGGGCACCGGCAGCATCGATTTTCACAAAGGTACCATGATAAGATTTCCTTTGGTCGAAATTCTTACATTTTGCCAGGCACGGAAATCGTAGTTCGACATGGCGAAGGCATTGCTGGGGCGTGCGCCGAGCTGCGTTCGCTCGTGAACGTTCCCGATGCCTACGAGGACAAGCGCTTCAACCGCGTACGCGTTCCACTGTTTCTTATGTTTGCTTGATCGCGTTTTCACTAGGCCTATGACGAAAAAACAAAGTACCGCACCAAGAGCATCCTTGCCGCCCCCATAATGAGCTCCAAGTCAACGCTTCTCGGCGTCATCCAAATGATCAACAAGTCGGGCGGGACGCCATTCCGTGCCAAAGACGAAGAGCACCTTGTCGTCGTCGCACAGCTCATTGCCCTCGCCATGGAGAACAGCAATCTCTTCCAGAAGACGCAGGTTTTTACGCATCCTCGATGCGCGTTTGTATCCAGGCTCGTAGGACGTGAGCCGATGCATCGGCACGTACATTCGGCACTTGCATCTGAACGAAGCGCTGCTCAACCTGAGCGCTGCTGCCGAAGACATTGTCGGCGTCCAAGGCGCGACCATCTACCTTGTCGATGAGCGTACGAACGAGCTCTTTACGTTTCACAAAGTCCGCAAGACGCGCATCGACATTCGTCCGTCGAGCTACAAGCACGCCATTGACCCAAGTCCTTCCTGCAGGCTAATAGACAGCATATGATGTAGGGGCAGCATCATGGAAGAGGCCATGACCAAGCGCACAGTTGTCATTGTCAACAACACAGGCATGTGTCTCCATTACAACCCTGCCGTCGACGCCATCAACGGCATTGCGGCCCACCAAGTAGACTATCTTGTGCTTGGAATTGGTCGCGGTATACGAGGCTAGATCATGTTTGTGCCCCTCTTCCAGTACGGGAAGAACCACTTCCAAGACAAGATATTTATCGGTCTCGTGCACTTGATCAACCGGAAGGGCACTGTGCACGACTTTGACGAAGACGACTCACTCGTGGCCATTGTTGCCAACCAAGCGGCGGGCATCCTCACGAGCATCATGGAGCGACAGGTGCTGAGGCTCCACGGATCGAATCCTCATTTCGTTGCCATTGTAGAACAATCTGCAACTGCACGAAGATACCAAGGTGCGTCGTGTGCAGTGGTGATGTAGACGTTCATGGATGTTGTAGCTTTTGCTGGAGACGTGCATGTCGTTCTACAAGGAGCTCAATCCGCTTGGCGTCATGAACGCCGTCTACAATGCTGCGACGGCCACGTTTTCGATTGAGCAAGGTCATTTGTGGCTCCTGAACGAAGACAAGTCGAGCCTATGGACGCCCAAGGTGCACCACGGCTGCATAGTTTGTACACATGACAAATACCTAGCTCTTGCCGCCCGAGGAGCTTCAGTTTGCCAACCCATCGCTCCTTCGTCGGTTCTCGGTTTCGACAAGCGACCGTCTCGAAGTGCCTTGCATCGAAGGTAGTTCGAGACCGACGGATTCGAGTGACTTGGTTCTTAGGTCTTCTCAAGCGCGTGGTGCAAGAAGGCCGCATGATCTGCGTGCGCCGATGGGACCTCATCGTACGTGGTCTTCGATTCCGCCGTAACTGTACGGTTGTCCTAGGGGGAAGCCAACCACATTGAAGGGGTCCAGCGGATCACAGCCACGGACCGAGCGGCCGGTTTTACCGACTTTGCCGTCACCGCCGCGCCAGTATGGGACTCATTTGGAATTGAAATACTCGGGGTACTCATGCTCTTGGTACGTCTCTGTATTGCGAGGCGCCGCTTACGATAAGACTGCATTCATCTAATTCTAGTATCCTCGCGGCCGCAGCTTGCACCGTCTGGAGCTATCCAAGATTCCAATCTTCACACGCCAGGTATCCCGTATATCATTAGGTGAAGCATCGCTGATTTACCTCGTAGATCACTGGGGCGCTCATGGTGTGTCGTGAAGTGTCGCGCCACCTCCATCACGTGCGGCGATTGGAGTCCATGCTGCGGGGCTATGGCCACGGCGACTTTCCGCCACCCAACTGCTACTCGTCACTTCCTGGAAGTCCTGCGCATGTGGCCGCGCACGTCTTTTCGCTCGCCATCGAGATTGACGCCCACGGCTGGCTCAAGACGCAAACGTATCCGATCAATCTCTTTAGCAAAACGTTCTCGCTCAAGTCGCGCACCGAGCTGCTCCGACTGCCTATGGACTCAATCGGCAATCGGCACGTGATGCAAGTGACCAACAGCCCTCGCGCCGTCTTTGCAAAGGAGCACTTTGACAAATGGTATGTGGACTTCGCGCCGCTCCACAAGTATGATTCGTGCTCGGTAGGGTCGGGCATGAGATTGCCTTTGGCGACTGGGAAAAGGTCAAGTATGACATTCACAACGCGTTGAGTCGAAAGGAGACGCTGAGCGCCTATTATGGCAGCTCGCGAAGCGGCCGTAAAGTTACGTTGGCACCGCTCTCGACGTCGCTCCCGACGCCGCGCTTGGGCGACGAGGACGGACGACCGCTTTGGGATCTCTCGGACCACATTCGGCACGAAGTCGCGTCGTTCCTATGGCTCTTTTGCACCAAGGACCTCCGTATCGAGTGGTCACAAGTGTTTGCCCTCTTTATGCCATACGACAAAGAAGTCACAGGCACGGTCGAGCCGCTCCATTTCGAGCACGTGCTGAAAGCCTGTGGCGTGCATCTCAACCACCATGTACGATCGCAATTGCGGCGACAACTCACATGATGCGCGTAGGAGCACGACGCCCTCGGCAAGATGTTTGCCGTCTACGCCAAGCCCGAGAAAGGCCAGCTGGTCGATATGGACGGCGCGTACGTCATCCTGTACAGGTCGCCTCTCTTCTCCGCATCAAAAAGCAAGGGAACTTACAGTCACATAGAGAATTGTTCCAGTCCTTGGCGCCCAGCTTTATCAAGCACACGCAGTTTGACTACGAAATTTTTCCGACGCTCAACGCGACGACGCACGCGGTATCTAGCATCCAACTCATCTTGTCGCCGACGGGCGCCGAATTTACGACCATCTCGACGCTTTAATGCACCATCGTGTTGATATTGATTCGAGCTGGATCATTCGTCCTTTGTAGCCGCCGCCGCTGGCGTCGAGAGCATGCGCACAACCGTTGCGACGTGCATGAGGCCGATAAGGATGCACGCTGCGAGCTGCCCGGTCGGGCCAAAGTTGGTCTTGCCCCAGCCGCCGCTGTAAAAGCCAAGGCAAAGCGCGGCGCCTACACCGTGGAGATCAAAGAGAGGAAGGAGACGCATAGTGCTACCGGAAAGCAAGAAGGAAATCGCGCCTGCGATGCGATGCGGGAGGTCCTTGGGGTTCTTCTGACCACGCTTGAGCACCCCCTACACACAGCACCATGTGAACCGTTTGGACGCAAATAAGCTCTGACATACCCCAACGTAGTTGAGGAGGTAGCCGCCCACGGCCGCGCACCCGACCAGCGAGTGCGTCGTCTGGAAGTGCGGCCATCCGTTCCGCTCCTTGTTGACGTAAATGGCGCCAAAGCCCGCCACCATGAGCAGCACCGTTGCTGTCTGCATGTACACGTGCCACTCGAGAAGCCCCGACCTACGGAAGAGGATACGTATCCGTGTGTATGCATGGAACGTACCGCTTGGCAAAGTTGGCTTCCGCGCGCCGACTGCTCATGGCCAAGAGCGCTCTAGGCACGATACATTATGAGAGGTGGCGTGCGCTAATGCAAGCAGCAGCGTACGAAGGCGTCGTGAGAAGGTACGCCAGCGTGAAGCAGACGGGGTGCCACGAGAAGAGCACGATGGGCTTGGCCACGAGGGCCATGTAGGCGACCCACGCGCACACGCCCGCGCCAAGTGCGATCGCTGTCCCGTGCAACATGATGCAAAATGCAAACTGACACGTGCACACATATCCGGATACATGTACGTGGATGCCGCAAATCTCACGAAGTTCCTTCCGGCCGCAGCTCTTGAAGCGGGTTTAGGGTACCGCCCATCGCGTGCTTCCGACGATGGACTGACGACGTTTAGAGGTCACAAAGACCCAGCGCATACTCACATATCGTACCCTCTACTACTCTGTAGCTTGCCAGCGTGCCCGAGACGCATCATTAAAGCGTGATGACGAGTCCCTTGGCGTAAATCAACAATTGCCCTTGTCGTGCCGAATGCCCAGAGTTAAGGACTCGTCTCCTCTCTGTAAAGATATGGGCGTAGTACTTTGTGCTTGGTACTACCTGCCCTTGGAGCGAGGCGAGCGGTGGCCATCAAGTTGGGTGCAATTAGACCCGCCCTGCGCTGGCCGGCTGCCACGCACGCGATTTTGGCGACCATCCGGATACGCGCCGGCCATTGGCTATTGCCGAAACCAAGGCGCCAAGATGATGCGAATGAATGGCAAAGGGAAGAAGCGCAAGATCGCGTCGGTCGACGACGAGATCGAGAGCGTGAACGCACTGCTGCAAGGCGACACGACCGCGCGTGGTACGTCGTGCTGCTACTTGCCATGTCTCTCATAGGCGTGAGCAGAGTCGTGGCAGATTGGCAAGCGGCTCAAGACGCTCATCGATGCGCACCCGGGCATGACCGACGAGCAAATGGGCAACACGCTTTGCATGTGGGGCACGGCGATTTCGCGCATTGCGACCGAGAACGATGACGCGACGCTCGCCGAGGCGGCCGTCGACAAGTTTGAACAAGCCCTCAAGCTCCTCGGGAAGGACGAGATGGGGCCGTACGGCATGGCGCTCTACGGCAGCACGTCGATGGTCGTCGCGACCGAAAAGCAAGACCGGTACGTCTCCTATTCGAGGCGGTGGGCACGTCTGGACTTGGCATTTTATGGTGTAGGCATGTCCTGGAGGCGGCGCTGCAGCAATTCCAAATGGCCGTCGACATGGACACACCCGAAGCGTTCGAGTCCCACTTCCAGTACGCAAAGGCGCTCAAGGAAGGCTCGCATCTTGTGCAGCACCTTCTCGAGAGTACGTCTTCTCCACTTGGACATCCGAAGCTCAGGCACGATATAGATGGCGCGGACGAGGACAAGGCGCTGCAGTCGCCGCAGCAGCTGCAGGAAAAGGTTGTCCCTTTCGTTGCTGCCGTATAGATGTAGCAAGGACACGATAGGCGCTCGGTATCTGCAAGCATCTTCTCCAGCACCACGCCGATGTGCTTGGTCAACCGACGACGTCGTCCGACGATGTGCTCGGTACTCGAGTCCCAAACGAGTCCTTGGCTTATTTTCGAAAACAGCCAAAGCCGCGGGTGACGACGACGAAGAAGAAGACTGCGTCACGACCGAAGACATGTCGGAAGTCATTTTGCTCCAAGCGCAGCTCATGGCGCTGCTCTCGGTGGACGACCCGGTGACGATCTTTACCACGTTCAAGCAGTCGTACAGTGCGTCATCTCAAACAGAATTGTACTAGTATCTTAACTGGCGTGTGCATAGACATTTTCGGCGAAAACTACAACGCGCTCATTGAAATGAACGCGTTCCTCATCCAAGTGCCAAGTACGTTTCTTTTGTCTAGTTGCACGCCATCTCTCATGTGCGCAGAGGGCGACGATGCGATTACGTGGGTCCAACACCTCGCTTTTGTCGCGACCGAGTTCAAGAAGGTCCTCCTCTCGATCGAGTTTGATACGACCAAATGCGACGTACGCTGTTTTCCAGGTATTAATAGATAGTGTGCTGATGAAAATGGTGTATAGCACGTGATTCGCTTTTGCATGGAGGACGAGCTCGACGCGTTTGACGAGCGGGCGCCCAAGCTCCTCGACTGTCTTGGCCGGAACCTCCTCGAACAGCTCAAGTGCTATCGCGAAAAGCAGGATGTGCTCGCCGCCGAGACCATCTTGACGCTGCGTACTGCGCACCACCTCCACGACCAGTTTGGGTGCTACCCCCTCGCCACGCTCTTTGCCCACCCCCTCTACGTGAACGCCACGGTACGTCCATGCCATAGTGTGGGCTATGGATGTATCGAGATGTGATATATGGATGTAGGAGTGCCATACGTGGATGGAGACGTGCGAAAGCTACGGCGTTCTTGACGAAGAGTTCAACGCGGCCGAGTTTGCGTCCATGGAGAGCGAGACGTGGTACCAGCAGTTTGTCGCCGGCGGAAAGCTCAAGCCCACCGAAGCCACCGTGGTCGAGTAACTTTTTAACTGCTTACTATTGCTCGAAATAAGGCTTATCTGTTGCACTGCCCATGCCGTTTGGCACTGCGACAACGTGCATCTTGAACTGATGTGTTCGATGACAATTTGTACACAACGTCAGTAGCGTTGGTCTCGGGTTCGGATTAGAGGTACAAGCGAGTGCCACAGAGAACCCTTGTCTGGAGCTCTTGGCGAATCGCCCACACGGGGTTGCACCCATTCTCTGGTGCAGAGGTATACTCGAGCGTGAGCCACCCCGCGCGCCGAGGGCCATCCTCGGGGCCTCCGTCTTCCTGGATAACAATCTCATTTGTCGCAGTGTTGCAGTGCCCACAACTGTACCTTGGTCCAGCTGATGGGCAACTGCCAGCCAGGGATCGGGGGCTCGCTGCGCTGCCACGCAAAGGTTTCGTTGATCCAGTTTTCACCCTATGCGACGTTAGTCTTCCGCCGGTGAATGGAATGGAGGCGTACGGGCTCGGTCACGGCCAGTGCCACGTAGATCTTGGCAAGCTCACGCTCGTCGCGCACGGCCAGATCGAGCTCATAGTACCGGTCGGGGACCTTGGGATTGAGAATGTTGAGCCAACCGAGGCTTCGCGCCACCTCCTTCTGCTCTGGCAAGCTCAGCGCGTCCAGTATCTACGACACACTTGATAGAGCCCGAGAGGCTATGTCGCGTACGGTGGCAAAGTTCTCGAGGTCGATGATGCGGGCAAACAGGACGCGGACCGCCTCCGCCTTGCCATGGTGCAGCGTCGGCATGCAGTCGATGATTTCGTGCGCCTACTCCCAGTCATATTGCGTTCGTCTTGGGAAGAGTATACTTGGTTGACCGAGAGCCAGCGGTCACCAATGGCCGTCTCGATCTGAAAGAGCTTGTCGCGGACACTCTCGAATGTTATGTGCCGAATGTGAAACACCTGCGCAATGTATATGAAGCGCGTAGCGAGTGTCGAAGCGCCGACCTCGGTCACGCGGTGCAGCCACGCCTTCATCTTGCGATGCCGCACGGCGTTGCGCACGAGGCCCCAACGCTGGCGCACCGTCAGCAGGGGCATCTTGGGTCGCTGCAGCTCGACCGAGCTCTCGCGGCCGATCTGCTGCACGAGCTGCTGGAAGCGCCGCGTGGACATGGGCTTGGTGCCCCGCTTGGGCCGCGACGTCGAAACATAGTCGAATTCGAGCTTGCCCTTGGACGGTACGTTCTATCCTCAATCGCATCATACGACAACCGATGGCATTGCTTAGTCGACTTGCCTGGAAGAAGGCCGACGTGAGCACGACGGGCTTGCCGTCAAAGAGTTCGTTGCGGAAGTTTTCCCAGTTGCCGTGCTGGGACGTGTCTGTCATACTGTTGGTACAAAACGACGCGGGAGGGTAGTACCGCCCCGACAGGACCGGGTTTTTGAAAATTGCTTTTCGGCTTGGGCGATCTCGGCGAGCTTCATGACCGCCTACACCCTTCGATGCAGGTAGCGTCAACCAGCCATCAAATACCTGGCGATCCTGTGGGCGACTCAGGTCCAGCTCGTACTTGGCCGTGGGAAGCCCCATGATGGGAAAATACAGCGACCCCATGCGGCTCCGAAGGTGGTAGCGCTCACGGACGGTCAGCGTATGTTTGACGAGCATGTGCGCTTCCTTGCTCGACACAAGCTGCGGCAGCATCTTAGCGACGCTCCCGACACGCCGCGCCTCTTGGAGCTCGCCACAAGTCTCCATGAGGACCATGGCCTGCTCGGCACTCATCCGAATATCCGTGTTGTCGACCTACCATATAGAAAAGTATGTGGGCGGAGACAAATCCGCGGTGGTCGTACCGCGGCACCAAGGAGCTCTTGGTGCTGCTGTTCCACTTTGCCATCCACAACTGTCTTGACGAGCTGCTGCAGCCCGCGCTCCGAGAGGCCTTTTCAAGCTGCGACAGGCCGACGGAGGGGTAGGGGACGCACCGTAGGACGCGATAATTTCGCGCTCGCTCATGAGTTCTCGCTCGTAGGAAAAGGTGATGTCGAGGATGCCTGATGCCGGCACCTTCCACACGGCGCCACTGCCTTCCTCCCGCAGAGCCAAAGACGCCACAATGCGGTCTTGAGCGTTCATTTGTACCCGCTGAATCACCTATGCCGTCAAATAGTGTAAGATATGCGGTGGGCGACGCGCAGAGGACTTGGTTTTTCAAGAGCTCGACAAACTCGTCTTCTTCGATCGTGCCGCTACCGTCGACGTCGTAGATCTTCATGGCGCTTTGCACGTCTCGCTCGGTCGGTGCCGCCCCCAGTAGCTACAGGCGAGTCCATGCAGTTGAACGTGAAATAGGGTGCGCACGTGAAATGCAGCGCGTAGCTCGTTCATGTCGATGGTCCCCGATTGGTTGGTGTCGATGATATGGTACACCGCGTGAAAGAGGTCGCTTGTGAGCTCACACGGCTCGATCGCGCCGCTGCGGTCCGCGTCCATTTGCTCAAAGAGCGATTCTAGAGTATTATAAAATAGTGTTGCAAGCTGCGAACGCACGGGCTTGGGCGGGGGTCGGGTGGAACCCCAGCTCTCGGAGCACGGTCTGAAGTTCGCCAATGTCGACGGTGCCCGACTTGTCCTTGTCAATGTCGGTGAACGTAATGTCCAGAGCACTCTTGAGCGTCCGAGCTACATACAGTCTTTGCCCAAGATCGACCAACATTCCTGCATACGTGGCGGCACGAGCTTGATCGGATGCGCTTGCTTGAGCGGTGTCTCTTTGGTCGGGCGGTGCAGAAGTTGCGCAAAGGTGCACCCGCGCTTTGTCGCGGCGAGGCGTAGTAGCTCGTGCGCAATCATACTCTCGTACGGGTCGGCGCAGTTGAGGCAGTACACGCCGCCGGGCTCCATCGGGTCGAACGTCGTTTGGTTGCTGTGGTCGTTGAGGCTGCACGCTTTCATCGAGATCGAGCAGCCGCCTACAAAGATAATACGAATATACTATGGCCCAAGGAGGAAGAGGGTAAAACGTACTCGGCGTGCCATTTTGCACCATGGCGTACATCAAGATGCGCCCGCCTTCCTTCCCGATATTGTTGCCGTCGAGAATCAGCTTGTGCAAGGTCGCGTTCGTGCGTGAGAGCGCCGACGCAATCACAGACGCGCCCTTGCATCGAATGTTGTTGTACGAGAGGTTGAGGACCCGGAGCGACTTGTTGACTTCAAGCGACTGGCCAAACGCCATTGCTCCTAGGTGCCGCGTGAATGCCTCGGCTCGCAGCGTACACGCACCGGCATCTCCGAGCGCGTTGTAGGCGACGTTGATCTCGTACAAGTTGTAGTTGAGCCGCAGCGCATTTGCCAGCGTGACGCCACTATATGCACCCTGCATGTCGTCTCCGTATGTTAAATTCGAGTACCTGGCAAGGCGCAGAAGGTTCCAAGCAAGATCCAAGTGCGTCAGCGTCAAGTTGACGTTGAGCATGTTCCCGATGGCCTCGCCGCCCGTGATGAGGTCGGGCTGGACGACGTTGAGGTTCTCGGCCTCGCCGATGCGGTTGCGGCTCAAGCGCAAGTCCACCACGGATTTGTTGCCTAGACAATAAAGTGTCGTGTCGCGATCGGACAGGTTGTCATCCGCGAAGCAAGTACTTTCAAACGCCGACATGAACGCCGCGCACTCGTGGTCGTCAATGTCGGCGTTGCAGATGCTAAGGTGCGTGACCGTGCACAGCGTCGACCCAATGTAATGCTTGAGCGTTGACGCGGACGCCGCGCCAATTTCGTTTTGGGAAATGTTGAGTTTGGTCAAATTCGGCTTGGCTTCGAGCGCGCGAAGAAGCTTGTTGAGAGCTCGGTCCGAGAGGCGGTTGTCGCACACGTTGATTTCTTCGACGAACGGCACGTCGCGCAGCGCTATCGACATTTGTGAACGTCGTGTACCGTAAGAACGCAGTTACCCGAGGCAAATTGTACGATAAACTTGTCGCCCAAGCTCTGATATGAAAAGTCAAACGAAGTCGTGTGGTGCTTTCGGAGGAGAAGCGGCAGCGCGAGGGGAAGGTCCGTGGACGCGAGGCAGTCGCTCAAAAACAGCGTCCGCGGCGACAGTTTGATTTCATTTTCAGTTGCGACGCGCTCGAGCCGGTGCGCGTGCACGACAGGCTTGAAGCTGTACTCGGACACGAGCGTCTCGGGTGCACTTGCTTTTGACGCGATCGCAGAGAAGCACTGGGTCTTGTGATGCATCTTGGTGTACCTACCCCGCCAACTTGATACAAGAAAGAGTATCAACTGAGCAGGTCTACGTGGCATAGAATTTGTCCTTGGCTGGCGACCCAAAGTACGTGGCTTTGAGCTGGTCTTGGGCGGCGGCTTCTTCATCTTCATCAGCCTCGTCGTCGTCGTTGCCGTCTTCGTCGTCCGAGACAGAGTTGTCAACTTGAAGGGCAAACCGACGCCGGGCCACGACCGGTGTCGACGGCGCCGACGGGTCTAGCTACAAACCCATTCACGGTGCGAATCCGTCGAATCGAGATGGGGAGACCTCGGTGTTGACTTGGGGGGGTGGGTCCGAAAACGTGTACATGCGGGGGCGCACCGCGTACCTAGCGCATGGATCCATGCATGACACGAAGCCCCCATCGTCTGCGTCGTACGCTGCGATGGCCGAGTCGCGGGCCCCTACTTTTGTCGCTTGTGCGATAGCATACTTGGAGAGGAGCGCGTCGATCTCGTCGTCGTGGCGAAGCATGTGCTGCAGTAGCTGGTCGTGCTCGGCCGACTCGACGAGAGCGGATTTACGGTCGCCGACACTGTGTTGGAGCACGCTCTTGAGCGGACTCAACTGGGTGGTTGTCGCCGCCTTCTTGGGGCTTCGAAGCGGCGACGTGGCCTGCATGCGACTCGTCTCCGATTTCGAGTCCAGAAGGTTGGCTTCCCAGCTCACACGACCGCGGTAGCGCAGCTTGGCATCCACCGTCGGCTTGGGGCTAGTGCCCTTGCTTTCGTCTGTCGGAAGGGTGCTATGGCGATGCGACGGACTCGGAAACGTCGCAGTGGGCTTGAGTTTGGCTTGCAAGCGGGGCTACGCATAGAGACGATGACCGCGTCAGGGGCATAAATCCGAGGGATACCTCGTCATGCTCTGGGAACATGGCGTGCGTCGACGTGTGGCGCGTCGCCTTTGGCAGCTTGAGAAAGTCGGTGGACGGTGCATCAAAGGGCTTGTCGAGCACGACAACCGGCGCAATGTCGTAGTCCTTGAGCGGGTTTCTACAGCAGTTGCTAAGGTCCTTGCCACGACAAGCCGGGAGGACATACTTGTACCACGGTAACTTGGACTCGACGTCCTTGGCCTTGCGCTCGTAGAGCTTTTGCATTTGCTGCGCCATGTCATTGTTCATCATCGAGGGTCGGCGCCGCCTGTCTACTTGGCCAAGCCAACTGCAATCGCAGGTGAGGAGATCCGCGAGCGTTTCGGGCGTTGCTGGTACCTTCAACCACAGTTTCCCGCGCGTGTGTTGAGCGGGCGACGTGCGACCTTGCTGGGTGTCGCATGGTCGGTTGAGCGATTGCTTATTAAAGAGTGCTCTTGTAGCTTGGTGAATCAAAGGGACCTGCGTTGACCTTGAAGGGAAGCGCAAGTGGCGCGAATATTCTTCTGTCACGTGGCACCCTTTTTGTCAAAGTAACCGTTTGTCGCGCCGCTTCACGCTGTCTAAACCCACGCCATCAAGGTGTCGTGTGTGAGGAAGTCGAGTCGTGGATCGGACATAGAACAATCGAGTTGACTCGGCGCTGCCGCTACATACGAAATGTGCAATATAAATGACTATATTGTCCGTAACGCAAGAGACATCTTGGAGGCTTCTCCCTCTAGCACGACGGCGTCGGCCGCCAAGGTGGCGTGTTTCTATCCGAAATTGGGTCCGCAAAAGCCGAATCGGCGCTTGTGATTGGACAAAATTCCCACACAGGCCCTCGGTTCGGCAGTTGGTTAAAATGCGTGGTTGTCAACAAGTCTTGCGCGTCCTCCGCGCCCCCATGCGCTTCGTGGCCGCGCCCAAGGCCGTCCGCTCGCTCGCCTTCCGCAGCCAGGTCGCGCGCATGTCGACGATCTACAAGGGCCAGACCCCCTTCGAGGTCCGCGTTCCAGCAAGACCAAGCTCGATGGGCTCATGCATATGTCGATCTATAGGACATTAACCGCCACCACAGCGACGCCGAGATCCGCATCGCCCAGGTGCCCGTCATCGAGGTTGACGGCGACACGGCCGTGTGCGACGGCGGTGGTGGTGCCCTCGGCCACCCGCTCGAGTACATCGCCCTCGACATTGTGTCCCACGAACCCCAGGCGTGCAAGTACTGTGGTCTTCGCTTCAAGAAGCACCACCACCATTAATCGTCTTATCCTGCCGGTCGTAACTACCCAATGTACTAGTACTACGTTGGCTCGGTCACGCTTGGTCGCGTTTCCGCTTCTGCTGCTGCGGCCGCGTCGGTTGGGGCGCCGCTGCAATGGCATCGACAATGGCTTGCTCGACAGCAGAGTACTCGGACGCGTCGTCGCGCGCCAAGTTCATGGGCTCTTTGAGTCCCACGTTGGGGTTGCACATGAAGCGCACCTACAGGCAATGAGGCGAGTTCGTCGTATGGAGCTCTACCTCGTGGCCGCAATTTTTGCTGCGCGCATGCATCAGAAAAGGGTGTGTCAGCATGACGTCGCCGGCATTGCCTTGTGTCTACATCAATGCGTCTCTCTCTACACACCCAACGCAAGACACGATATCGCACCTCGACGTACTCGTCCTTGTGGCGGGCGACCCACGGCTTGGCCGTCGCGCTGACCTTGCCGCCTGCCGTAAATACATGATGAGCGAATGCAATGGTGGTCGCTGGCTCAGATGTACCTCGCATGCCGTTGGGCCCGACTTTGCTGAGAATCTGGGCCACGTGCTGGTGGGAGCGAGGGCTCAGGGCCTACGCTGCGCATGAGTCGCCGAGGAGGATCAAGCACACGTACCGTGCCACCATCGCCTGGGCCAATGTCGTTGAAGAGGAAGATTGGCAGCAGTCCCGACTCCTTGCTATCGACGTGGTGAACGTATCTACCCGAAGCGTCAAAACGTGCTGGCACAGTCGAGGCCCTAGCACCTCGCGCCGTCCACGTGCCAGTGCCCCGCGGGTGCCCACGGCAACATCGCATGCCCCGGGAACGTGAGCACCCACCTAGACGCTCGTTGCGTAGAGCCAATAGATTCCAATAACGGCGTCGACGTACCAGCCGCAGGTGAGGTCGGCCGGGTTCCACCTGTCCTTGCCGCAGAGCTGGTCCATGGCTCGCTTCAAGCGAGGCGTAAGCACGCCTGCCCATGGCCCGCCCGTATCTTCGTTGTAGGACTCTACCAAGATGGCATGAGCGGCTGCAACACAAAAGCGGCGCAGGGACGACACCAGAGATCCAATGCTTCTCGGGCCACGAGAGCGAGTTGTGGCGGTCGATGCCATCGGCGGCGATGCGCTCCCAGAGGAACTCGCGGCAGGCGGCCGCTGTCTCGCACGAGAAGGCGTTCTTGAGCAAGACGTAGCCGTGCTCGACAAAGTGAAGGACTTGCTCCGGCGTCAAGCCGATCTCGTCGACGTCTGCGTCGACCATCGTTGCACCGTGTCAAGCTCGGTTGCCAATCCACCGCGATTCGGATATACATAATCATCCGGATAACATACTAATTCCTGCCTCGACAATATCACACTATATAAAGTACCACACCATCTTCCGCCAGGTCAAACAGCTAAGCCAAACCGTTTTGCCGATGGTCGCAGCAAGCTTACGTGTCGCTGTCTTGTGTTCCACACTACTACAATTGGTGCCAGCTTGCAACGACAAAGCCGCTACCCACGTCGATCCCGATACCTCATCTTACACTATTTTCATTCAAAGCTAGATCTTGCCGGTGCTCTGCCAATTATTTAAAACAGTAAGCTATGTATTTGTATGGAACAATAAATTTCATAATTAAATTGCTCCGGCCAGCGGCTCGCGCAGCAGCATGGACGGCCTCGCGCTCTTCAAGCTCGTCTCGCTCGTGAGCATTTGGGTCGTCGGCTTCGTCGGCGGCGTCCTGCCCTTCTTCATCCGCCAGCACAACCGCGTGCTCATGAGCCAGCTCAATTGCATGAGCGGTGGCGTCTTCCTCGCCGGCGGCTTCATGCATCTGCTCCATGCGGCGATCGAGAACCCCGGCCTCGTGCGTTGGTCGACGATGGACGAAGGCGCGTATGCGTTTCCGTATGCAGAGATGTTTTGCACGATCGGCTTCCTCGGCGTCTTGATCGTCGAGCAGCTCGCGCACGCGCTGCAGGCGCAAGGCCATGCCCATGTCGAGCCCGACACGACGAGCGAGGACAGCGACGATCACAAGATGGACAGCGCGCCGTTCCTCGAGCAAGTCGAGGCAGCGACGCCACCTGTGGCCAAGAAAGGCCGGAAAAAGTCCCACGACGGCCACATTGCGTTCGACAAGTACGATCGTCGCCACCCCTTGAAGCTCATGTGGTGTAGGAACGCATCAGGCACCGTGGCCTTTGTGCTCTTTGTCGCTCTCTCGTTCCACTCAGTGCTCGAAGGCCTCGGCATCGGCGCCCAGTCGCAGCCAGCGTGGGGCGTCTTCCTCGCGATCATCATCCACAAAGGCCTCGCCGCCTTTGCGCTCGGCACGGGCATGCTCAAGAGCCAAATGAATAAGACCAAGTTTCTCAGCTACATGCTGCTCTTCTCCCTCATGAGCATCTTTGGCATCATCATCGGCTGGGCCGTGAACGCGGCCGAGTCATCCGAAGACGTACGTTCCTCCGTCATATCCCTCTTCCAGCTCACTCTGTCTTCTAGTCGGCGGCCGCGGGGATCTGCCTCGCACTGGCGTCTGGGACGTTCATCTACGTGGCCGTCATGGAGATCATTCCGCAAGAGTTTTCGCACGGCAAGTCGAGCCTCAAGAAGACACTGCTGCTCTGCGCTGGGTACGCCGTCTTTGGCGCGATCGCCAAGTGGTCGTAGTCGCGTAGTACATACCAAACATACTGTATTCTTCCACTGCGCCGGACTCACGCCAACCAGACACACTGACAAACACGCGGCATCTAAGCTAAGGTAGTCGTCGTCGGGCTATCCGTCGAGGCGCAGGCTGTGCACCGCGTGGTCCAACCCGCTCTCGTCGTCGTCGCCATAATCGTCGCGGTGGTGGACGCGCTTGTGCTGGACCTTGAGCCGCTTGGAGCCAATCTGGAACCCATTCATGCTCGCAATCGCAGCATCTGCAGCCTGCACCGAGTCGTAGCTCACAAAGCCTAGCATCTCGTGAGCGGAACATGCAACGACGAACGTCGACGTACCGAAGCCCTTGCTCTCGCCCGTGTTCTTGTCCATAAAGACCTTGGCGCTAATGACCGTGCCAAAGGGAGCAAACGCCGTCGCGAGATCGGCATCCGTCAAGTCGTGCGGCAAGTGGTAGATGAAGAGGTTGGCACCGGCAGGGCCTTCCAACTGGGTCGCGGCGCGGGCGCCCGACGACGCCGCTGCGACGGCTGCGACCGACGACGGCACGGCGCTGGCCAGAGCGTCCAGTGGGAACGGCGGCGCCGCGCCAGTGGGAAACGACGGGTAGCCGGTCGCCGCGGCGAACGCATACGGGTTGTAATACATGAACGCCGCGGGGTTGGCGGCTGGCGACGGCGATGCGCCTGGCGACGACTGGCCAGCGAGGGCTTGAGCGCCAAAAGCTTGCATCTGCTGCATGTACTGCTGCTGAATTTGCTGCAGCTGCGGAAACGGGATCGTGCCGCCGGGCGGAAGCTGCCAGTACGCGGCAGCGGCCGTCGCGGCTTGGTTGCGCGCGCGCTGAATGCGTTGACGGCGGCTGTCAGCAAATTTGACGACCAGCGGCGCCGTACCACGTTCCTATTCACGTTCGCACGTTAGCGACAAGGAAGAGAGAATACGACTACGGATACCATCGTGTACGTGCCGTTGTAGGCATCAATGGCCGCTGAGGCTGCGTGACGGTCCTTGTACTTGAGGAACGCACATCCCTTGCTCTGGCCCGTCGCCGGGTGGCGCAAGATGTAGATTTCTTCAATGGGACCGTGCGAGGCAAACACTTCACGGATGCTCGACTCGTCCGCGTGCTTTGGGATCATCCCAATAAATAGTTTGTGCTCTTGGGACGCTACGCCAGGTCAACGCATGAGTACATCCGCGATGCTTGGCAGGATGCATACCTCCCGCTTGGCCTTCGGCCGGTCGGACTTGCAGCGGGTTGGACGAGAGGGGCAGCGTCACTTGGTTGTGCAGCGTCTCGATCGCCGCCTCGGCCGCGTCGCGCGAGCAAAAGGTCACAAAGGCGCAGCCGCGGTGCGTGCCACTGACCTTGTCGCGGATGATGACAATGTCGTAGAGCGGGCCAAAGGCCTCGAGGATCGGGCGGAGGTCCGCCTCTTCCATGTTGCGCGGGACTTGGCCGACAAAGAGCTTGACAGCGTCCGGCGGCTGCGAGTGGCCATGGTGGTTTCCGTAGTCCTCGACGTCCTGGTCGTCGTACTCGGCGCTGTAGCCGCCGGGCGACGCGTAGCTGTGCATCGCGTCGGTCATCTTTGGGGCCACACGAGGGGAAGCAAATGACTAGTTTGCTCCTCGTGAGACTTGATAATTTTCACCGGGCGCCCCGCGCTCTGAAACCGCTGGGCCACCGGCCATCGAGTCTCGCAGGTTCTTCCGTCCCACGCTGGCCACTCGTACGCGCGTACATTCCGTACATTGGCGCAGAGACGCAATGTACGGGGCGTTATCACCGCCTTGTGCGGGTGCCACGTCAGCACGTCAACTCTACCAGCCGTGCACCGCGAATCGTGGGCATTACTGGCGGCGTTGGAGCTCGGACAAGACACTGCGGATACTACGCTGCACTCTTCGTACCGCCGCCCACCCGCTGAGTGACACCAAATATTGCCCACCAACCTACGTTGGCGAAGTCGAGCCGATGCGACTGCTGCACGGTTGGCATACTAAAAGCTAGTAGACCCGTCCCACACGCTACGTTCCCAGCCATTCACGTCGTACCTCGTATGCAGTGGACGTCAACGTTGGGTTCTGCAGTATCTTGTGTGCTGCGCTGCAGGGGACAAAATAGCCAACTGGCTGCGTTGGCGCCGCCAGATACCGTTGAAACGCGCTTCCAGACGCAATGAGAAGACCAGTGCACCGGTGGTTTCGCAATGTACGGTGGCCGTACAAAGCGTCGTGTACGACGTGGCGCCTGTCCAAAGATTGCGCCGATCGATGCCCGAGGTAGCGACACCGCTGGTCGAGGATACCAGCACGCGATCTCGCTCTAGTCGCACCGATCCCTTATTGAGCACCACGGCAGTGTCAACCAGCGAGCGTTCGAGCCTGTGCTCCCGTCGGCCAACTTTGTTCGGTAGATCTTATTGCATGCAATGCATACATGCGCGCCACGCTGCGTGCCTAGTCAACGGTCGTCGAACCCGCGCGCTGACGCGGTGCCCGCCAAGAAACCACCTAAGTCGCCGACACCACATCACGGATCCCTTTCCATCCCGCTGCCTCGAACGCCACGGCCCAAGACCCAGTCGACGACGGCCATGTACATTATGCTGTCCGAGCAAAGGCGAGTTTCCATGCGACTACATAGCCCCCTCTTGCACGCTCCTTGGGACGCACCACGAGTGGCCTCCCCCATTTCCAAGCGCAAGCACCGGCATGTGGACCGGCGCGTGCACGCCGTCGCAGTGAGTGCCGTGACGACTGAAGCTCGTCTCAGCGCCCTCCGCGTAGATTGCGCAGGTCGCGTCCCCCGAGAACAATCCTTCTTTCGGCCCGTTGGCGCTCGACGAATGGCTCGCCACGTACGAGTTTGATGTGCTGCAGTACGACTCGATCGGTGCCTTTGTCGAGGTACGACTAGCAACCTCCTCGTAACTGACCGCTGCACCGTCGAGCAGATCAAGCTCAAGGAGGCGCTCGTGCTCTCGAGCAAGTTTGCGACACCCATGAACCGATTCCGGGCCGCGGTGCGCCACGCTCGTCGTCCAGCAAAGCACTCCTAACGTGAAGACGTAGGTGGTGTGTAGCCTCGTCGAGCGGGTTGCTTTGGCGCTCGCGAATGCCGAGAGCTGCCGACGCTATGCACCCACGATCTTGCGTCTCGTCGACGAGCTCCGGAGCCTTATTTTCATCAACGACGACGACGAATGCGAGACCCGTGTGAGCCACAGCGGACACCTGCCGCACCCGCGCACGCTGAGCTTCTTTCTCGCCAAGGCCCCGTACTTTACGCAGCTGCGCCTTGAAGTCACCAAGGTACTCGCATTGATCTGCGGTTCGCTTTGGATAATGCTGTGGGATTTAGAAAGACGCCGAGTTTCGGAAACACCAAGCCGTCTTGCGCAAGCTCATCCAGTCGACGTTCCAAAACGTCGGGTCCGTCTTCCAAGCGTGGAAGATGCACACGCGCACCAAGAAGGAAGATCGGCTGGCGAAAAAAGCAACCGAAATCACAGGTGAATAAGCACGTACCTCCGTGCTTCAAGCTGCATACTCTAGGCCGAGTGCTTGCGAAGCGCGGGCAGGCGCGGATCGCCTTTGTCTCGTGGGCACGCTACGTCATGGCGGTGCGGTTAGAGAAGATGCGGCTAAAAGGTATCGCCGTTTTCGCAAGGACCGATGACTCGAGTGCTCGCGTAGAAGCCCACTTATTGCGCGAACACTCCCAACTTGTGCTTGATTTGCGCAAGCAGCTCAGCCACGCCCACGACACCATCGCCGTCCTTCGCGCAGAGGTGCACGACCTTCAAGTACGTCCTCGCCATGTCCTTGTAGCAACACAAAGTCTTTTTCATAGCCAGAGGCGCTCTTGCTCGAGCCAGACGCCACGTTAGACTAATCACTACAAATCGAGTTATGGCGACGACGACTCGGACGGCGCGAGTGGAAGCTCGTCAAAGAAGGCACGCGCAATCGCTGCTTCTGCGTCGCGCATCACGGGGCGCAGCGGTGGCATTGTCCGCTGTAGGACGTTCAGAAACGACGGCACCGGGTGGCGACTGGTCGTCGTCATCTCGGGAAGCGGAACCGGGCGTCGGCGTGGACCTAGAAGTGACGGCGTCTCCATGAAGGGCATGGACGTTTCAATGCCAGGCGAGAGCAGCGACCGCTGCAGCGACGCTTGCATGCGCTCTGTGAGCTCGCGCCATCGCGCCTCAGACTCGACCAGATCTAGTTGTGCATGTGAAGCGACGGCTCACCGCGGGGAGCGCCACCTGGGTGGTCGAAAAGTGACGGCGGCATTGGTGGCGGCGCCAAGATCGCGTGGATGTGGACATCAAAGTTGCGGCGTGGCGCTTGTGGCTCGACAAGCGGGGTGCTCACAGCCTACACACGCCATACACAAGATATCACGCCCGTGCAAAGCGCCCATACCTACAATGAGCTCTCGGAACGTCGAGTCGTACGACGTGGGGCCCCGGCGCGACGCGCTGCGAGGCGAACCGTACGCTACAACGCTTGAACTTCAACTTCACGCCGGCGGAACGTTCTGTAATACCGTCGTTGCTGACGTGGTGGGGCGTTGTGAGGCTTTCGATATGCGTGGCGGCGTCGACGAGGACGCGGCCGACACGGTCAAAGAGGGAGCCAACCACGTCCGCGGCTTCTGTGAGTGCAGGCGTCGCGTCGGGCTCGTCACAGAGCGTAGCAAGTTGATCGACGTACGGTAGCATGTCTCGAAGCGCATCGCGGATCTGCGGCACAAGCGAGCGGGCGGTCGGCGGTGGAGTCGACCGCGCCGAGCGCACAATAGGCGTCGGGCTCAAGAAGGGCGACCCTGTCGGATGCAGCGTCCGAGTCCGGAAGGCAGCGAGGCGCGGCGAGATCTTCTCGATCCACTCGTCCCAGCGCGTCGGCCACCCGTGGTAGTGTACGCGGACGTGTGTCGCACTGAGCTCCAGTACCGTGCCTTCAAGCCATTGGTTGACTGTGTCCTTGACATCGAGCCATTGACCGACGTAAAAGAGGCGGCGTGCACGCAATGTGGCACCCCGCTCCGCACTCGTGGTCTCGGTGGGCGTCGCCGACGTCACTGTCGACAACAGAGTGCGGAGCGTTAACAGTCCTTGCTCAATGTGCTCGAAAGGCTACGTGCAAATGTGCGCTGTGAAGAGCAGAAGGTACATTCGAGTACATACATCATGAACGACGGCTGGAGGTCTGGCTTCTGACTCGGGCTCAGATGTCAAATCCAAGGCCCTCTCGGCGTCGCTGGGCACCGGCGCGGTAGGTCGAGGTTGTCTGAAGTTGAGCGCGTCTGAGAGCAACGAGCCATCTTCGTCGAGGCCGAGCCGCCGGCGCATCGAGGCAAAGGCTGCCGCCGAGTCGAGACGCGACTGCCGAGGGCGCAGCTGCGGGCGCAAGACACTGCGCGCGGGAGGCAGAAGCGGCTCGGTCTCGGACGCGCTTGTACCGTCGGCGCTGTAGATCTGCTCGGGCTTGGCCACGAGATGTAGTGTATGCCCATCTTCCACGTTGTATGCGGCGAGCTGATCGGCGTCTTTCATGAGCTTGCCTGCGTGAGAGCTCAGGCGTTATCCGCGTTGTACAGGCACGGTGCGTACCTCGGTAGATGAGCCGCTGGCGGTGCTCGGGGACTTGCGTCGTCGTCCGCAGCATCTCCTTGAGCTCGCTCACCGCGATGGCGGGACGGACCTGCAGCGCAAAGCTGTGGTCATTGAGCGTCTTGATGCGAATCTCGATGCAACTCTCTTGGCGCGTCATGGCCATCGCAAGCACGTCGTCGATCGCTGCTGCGGCCTCCATTCTGCCAACTGCCAAGTGAAACCCATGCTATGATGGGCAATCTTTGTATATTTTTAGCCAATCCACGCATTCGATTTCTCGTCAATACACTATATTTCGCATACGTTCCGATTTACTGTACGTAAACTATCTTTAGAACGGCCAGAATGAGTTTCCAATAGTGTTTATGCACTGAAATAGTGTCTTGATGGAGATTGCAACACGAGGAGAATGACGCCCAAGGAGTTCCTCACAAGCTTTCGGATCGAGTCGGGCGGAGAGTACACGTGCCTCCGCATGCGCCATGGGCGTGTGTGCATGTGGCCGTTTCATCGCGCGCGGCTTGCACTGGACGCATCCCAAGGCGACGCGCTGCCCGCCGAGATCGTTCGTGCCGCCACGGACACCTTTGGCGAAGCTGCCAGCACCAAGGACCTCATGGTCACCATCGTGAACGTCAATGGGCGCCACCACATCCACGTATACGCCATGCCAGGCTTGAGCTTTGTTGGTGGCGCAGACAACGGCGTGCCCCAAGTCAGTGCGGTTGACGTGCTCGTGCTGGGGCCTGCCCGCCGAAACCCGGGCGTCAAGCACGTCAGTTGGATCGACGAGCGCAAGTACCTCGAGGCTGCAGCGGCGGAGAAGGCGGCGGAGCTTGGCATCGGTAGCTTTGGTGAAGTGCTCTTGAGCCAACGCGACGCCGACACCCATCACCTCCTCGAAGGCCTCATCACCAACTTCTTTGTCCGTACGTGAGCGCACCTTTATCGTTCCGAGTTGACTTGCATGGGCTAGTGCACAACGGCCGACTCTACACCGCTCGCGACGATGTCTTGCTTGGCAGCACGCGGGAGCTCGTGCTGCAAGCGTGCGAACGCCTTTGCATTCCGGTCGTGCACGAGCCTCCCGTGCTGGAAGCGAGCGCGACGTGGGAGGCCGCTTTTGTTACGAGTAAAGATCACACTGCTGTAGTCTAGGATCCAAGCTCATGGTGGCATGGCATAGGTGTCGTGCGCATGATCGTGCCTGTGAAGACGCTTCGCCGCCAAGACACTGGCACGTGGCACACGTACAGCATTCGCACCGCTCCTGAGCGGCTGCACCAGCTGCGCTCTGCGATCTACGAGCTCTGCGATGCAGATGCCCGCGTCGGTTAAATCTGTAGCCAACGCTGCTGGCTCGTAGTAGTAGTAGTGTGTTGCACCTGGCGCTGCAGCATGCCTTTGCACGTTTCGACTAAAGAAACGCCAAGGGTGTTCATGGCGCTTCCTGCGAGATGTGTTCGCAATGGCCATCAGGTGGTGGATCTCTGCATGGGGCCAGCAAGATCGTCGCACGGCCTTGCACCAAGCTACTACTGCGGGACAAAGCCACGCGCTCGCAGGCCGAAGTGTTTTCGTAACACAGCGCAAAGACGCGACATACAAACCTCGGGATAAAAACTGCATTCTAATATTGCCATTTGCTTCAAAATAATTAAAATAAAATAATACGTGCTCACGCCGCACGCTGGAGTTGCTGGAGCACGGACGCGTCAATGTTCATTTCCCGCAGCGGCAATCGCTCGGGCGACGACCGAATCGCCTTGAGAAGACACTTGGCGCCGGCAGCTCCAATCGAGTTGTTGCGCAAGTGCAGCACCTGCAGCGACGAGAAGCCACCCGACTTGAAGACGGCGGCGAGCGCACCCGCGCCCTTGTCCTGGATGACGTTCTGGCCGAGGTCAATCGTGGTGATGGTGCCGCCACGGCGCGAGAAGGCCCACGCGAGCGCCAAGACGCCCGCATCGCCAATCTGGTTGCCCACCAGCGAGAGCGTGTCGAGCTTGCTCGAGGCGTTGGCCAGCCAGAGGCTCATGGCCGTTGCGCCGGCATCGCCGAGCGCGTTGCCCTTGCAGTGAAGCTGCGTCAAGTTCGGGCACGCACCGCTGGTAAACGCGTCAAAGAGCGAGTTGAACGGGTGCTGCAGCGTCGGCGCCAGCGACGGGAAGATGCCCGACAACGTGAGCGACTTGACACTGCGGCATCCGCCGCCACTGAGAAACGAAGCGAACGCGTGGCAGATCGCGGTCGACGCCGACAAGTTGTTGACCGACGCAGGCTGGATCGTAAGCACTTCAACACTCGTAAAGCCTGGAAGGAACGGGCGCTGGCCCGAGAGCATCTCGCCGAGTGTGTCCATCGACAGCGTCAGCGTCAAGCGCTCCTGCTCCGTGCAAATCGGAGTACACAGAAGCGACATGGGGATGACGCCGTTGAAGCGAGGCACGGGCGTCGGGCTCAGCTTGGCCTTTGTCCGGCGCGAGTACGAGCGCGAGAGGCTCTTCTGAACGAGCACGCCGCCTTGGATCGGCACCGGCGACGACTGTTCGTCCGACGAATAGCCTTCGCGCGGGCTGGCCTCGCCGTCGTTGGCGTACGTCATGTGGTGCGGGCGCTTGCGCGACTCGTCGACGACGACGTCAGCCGGGCGCTTCTTCGCGAGCGTGTCGCAAATCTCGAGCGCGCTCGCATGGACGCGCTTGGGCAGCGTGCAAAGGTCCTGGTACTCGGCGCAGGAGCCCGCGAGCTGCACCAACCGGTTGTCGATGCGGGCGGCGACCTTTTGCAGGTGGCCGGTCGAGGCGGCCGACGCGCGGCTGCGTTGCTGGAGGAGCTGGACGATCCGCGTGCGGATTTCGCGCCGCAGCGGGATCGGAATAGCGATCGTCGAGACGGGCGCCGAGGCGTGGGAGACAGGCGTCCACGCCGGTGCGGCCTGTGATGTCATCATCTTTGTCCTGTTGTCTGCTATGAACCACTCGCCAAAGTCGGGAATACAGCCCGAGAGCCAAAAGATAGAAAGCACAAAGAAAATGCAGCGGGCGCGGGCCGTGATTTTGCACCAAAGCACCCTCTTGGCGTTTGTATGCGCAGTATAGACACGCGCCCGCGCGCGTCTCTCTTGACAAACCATTGGCCAATCAAACGCGCCGAGAAAAGCTGGCGCCAATCGCATGGCCGATCACACTTTATGGCGCATTACGATTGGTAGATTGCATCTGGCTCGATCCAAACGGGGATTGGCGGCTATTTTTAGCACCTGCTCACACGCGGTTTCATTGGTCCGTGTCGTGGGCCACGTTTTATAGCAGACGTGCGTTTTCTTGTTAATGTACCAAATCTATACTGACTGACTGGTCGCCTCGCGTTATAACACATGTCGCACAATGAGACCTGGGGAGTTCCAGCAAGTTGCTGTGTTATAACGCGTTACGGACAGCGACGCCCACCTTGCCTCCATACGTCCTGTTGGTGGCCCCATGCTACGGAGACGCGAGCTTCAGCAACACGATCGCGGTGCGTGTCTCGTGGCGGCGTCGAAGCGAAGGCGGCGGCTATACTACTTGGGAAGATGCTCGGTTCTGCGAGCTACAATTGGGTTCGAAAGTCTTTTCATGAAGGGTTTATGCGCGGGCGCGTAAAAATGGCACGTCCTGAAGGAAGACAGCAGGAGAGAAACTTCTCGAAGTCACGGCGCCTCGTGATGTGTGGTGCATAGAGCCGCAGACCCAGTCGATGTCGCGATCGTGTTCATATTTAACCTTGAAGTTCGTATCGGGAGCACACAGTGTGTGCTTCAAGTTCTCGCCCACGCTTTGTTATAACACCAGACGACTTTTGCCTTCGTGAGAGGGGTGCGGGTAGCCACGCGGCACAGCTCGGCGTTGGACTGCCAGACATGGGCAACAAGCGTTACGCCGCATGCACGCGGCGGCAACCAAGAGCTTGGTCCTGAGCATTTCCGGAAGTGCAGCGCTGCGTCCAGTGCTTGTCGATGACTTTTATGAGAGCCATAACGTGGTCTTGATCACGCCGTTGGTCACGCTTCTCGCTGGGAGGGCCACGTTGTCGGGCGAGGATGGCAGGCGAGACAGAGTGCAATCTGCGAGGCGTTGATGCTGGGCTTGTTGGATGGTGCGCGGTGGTTTCTCGGCAACAAAAGAGCGTGTATCTCCGTCGACGTGACCTTGCACTAGTGCAGGCGCGGTGGATATGTTCCCGCCCTCATTTTGCTCTTGAGAATGCGTTATCCGCACCGACGCCCCCATTCTTGGACGTACTCGAGGCTGTACCAGGTGGACGGCTCGATCATCCTAATCTTGGCGATTCTGCGATGACTGCTTGTGAGCTGCGATCGTCATCGCCAGGTCTCTCTATGCGCACCTGAGCTTACCACATCGAGTTGAGGATTGAGGAGGGTACAGTGCGTGGATGTCTCTCGCACAGCAGCGTTGTAGCCTTTTGTTTCCGTGTCCATGAAAAGACGCTCAATACAGCGAAATTCTGCCTCAGTACTCTGCAAGTAAGTCTGCAGCGGCGACCGAGCGCCAAGCCTGGTGCTTCGCATCGACGCTTCGTCGAATACACTCCGCATGAGGTCCTCTGTCTCGCACGCTCGAACAGCACACAAAGCTCACCGCCGAGAAAATCGTTGGGAGACTGCCGCTTAGCGACTTCCTTTGGTATCGACTGCATCTTAGTGATAAGCCCTTTGTGCTTTGTGATATCAAGGGCCGAAAATATTCCTGAAGATATCGGCAAACTCTATTCGGTTTGTTTGTTTGGAGTATGGATCGATCAAACGTGTTCGTGTTGAAATCAATTCAGCGAAAACTAACTCAAATGTAGCGCTACACCTAAATGCGTGGGAGCTGGCACCAGCACTCGGTCTTTGGGCGTTGGCTGCGCACAAAGAGATCCATTCCGTAATGCGAAACTGAAAAACCAAGCAACAGAGCCTGCCACTCCACACAATGCTAGTTCCTGTAGCGCCGAGAGGCTTCCATGGATTTCCATCCAAGATAGAGCCGACTGTTTAGCACGGGGTAGTCCAAGTGGGGAGTATTAATACACCGACCATCATACATTGGAAGCCACTGGGATCTCAATCCAAGGGCGATTCATCGAAAAAGCTAAACTCCCGCTGTGACGAGGTGCATGAATGAGTGAGCTCGTGAGGACAGAATGATGTTAGCTTTGTGTAAAGCCCGGGAAGACATATTCCGACTCGAGCTGCAGCGGCAACGTACAACAACTACCGCATAAATTGTGGGGAAGTAACAAACGTGCCTAATACAAGAGAAGAAGAGAAAATCGACTTTCGAAAGACGTCCCATCGTCCCAACCTACCGTCGACCGTCGCCATGTCATTCAAAAGTTGACCTTCTATCAAATTACCGCTATCGCCCGACTCGAGAGCTTCGATCGCAAGAAATACGTCGACGCAGTAGCAAAGACCGAGAAGAGAGCTTCTGCGTCCTCCTGCATTCTCACGACGCACAGCTTTCCGTCATGACTCGTACCGCTCTACTTACCGTGCCATCACACAGCGAGACAAGCCGAGACGTCATCGCAGGAACGGCCCCAGCACTGGCCTATTCCACACCGCTCCAGCGTTTTCTCGTGTTGTTCCTCGGCTCGCATGGAGGACTCGTGACGTGTACGAACGAAGTCGTTCTTACGCAGGGCTGAACCCTGGCTGGTTCTTCCAACAAGCAGTGGCTTCGACCAGGTGGACTTGAGCGCAACGAACCTTTGTGTCACCCGATGTCGTTGAGAGCCAAGCGATTGGCACCTCAAACCACTTGATCGGACGCATCTCTGTTCTTCCAGCACATTCATCAAAGAAGCCCACGCGTGTCGGGTGCGCAAGGTGTCGTCGACTGGAGCGAGTCCCATTGCCGGTGCGACGACGACGGTGTCGAGGGCGTCTGGTTCAGGGATATCTCTCGTTGTGGTTTTTAAAATTTCAAACGTGGCAGCCTTGGCGCCAAGCGAGCGCTGTGGCCTGTCTACCCATCTGGCGATCTGAGTTGTTGAGGGCGGCCCGTTTTCAATTACTGCCGCCGCCTCCAATTGGCTGCCGCCCTCCTGTCAATTTGCCTTCTTCGCCATCTCTACCATTACGCGCCGAGGTCAGCCATAGAAAGGCATATCTCTCTCTTGTTCATTGTACACTATTTCGTAAATTGCCATGGCGTTGCGGCATTCCGAAATACTGTACAATATATGTCGACCGACGCTTTGAAGCTCAAGCTTTTGTCGCCCCCCTCATCTTGTTCAAACGGCAGTTCAAGCTCTCAACGAGCCAATCGATGGTCGCCACACGCGATCCACGTCACTTGAATACGCGAGGAGCTTCACCATGATGTCGCCTTGGTGCAACAGCGCCGGGTCTGCCAGGATGGTGCAACATGGGCTGGCGTACCCACTACGGTACGACCATAGCGTAATACACGCACCAGACGATACTGGTTTTTAGCCGCAACGTCGTTTCGAGAGAGCACGTTCGAGCCGATGGGTCAACGAGCCGAGACGCATTGTGCTTCATGCTGATGGCACAGGGGGCTCGCATCACCCTCATATTGACCAATAAGCGCAGCACGCGAACACTGGTCGACGTCAAATAGACGTGGGCGTGGACGCAAAACCACGGCGATTGACTGCCGTTGCGACCGTGCTACAACGTACACTATTTCCGTTGATCTACGCAGCCCCATGTGGATACGACAACAAGGTGGAACTCTGCATCTGGCGAGCGCCTTTTCATCGCTGAGCGTTGCGCGCTACGAACTTCGTTGTCCTGCGGCTGCTTGGCTTAGCCGGTGCCCTTCGAACTTCGGTTTGCAACCCAGATACTGGCGGATCAGGTTGGCGTGTTTTCGAGGGAAGTTTGCTCATTTCCGTTCTTCTCGAGTCGCGGCCAGCATGTCGGGCTACATGAACAACATGATGATCTCGGTCGGCCTCATGGTCGTCGTGCAGTCCGTCGTCAACTCGTACTTCGGCTTCGAGACGCCGGCGACCTGCGCGCCGGGCGTCAACGACAACTCGTGGACCGACGAGTACCAGTCGGTCATGCTCTTCCACCCCAAGTCGGTGGTCCGGTCCTCGACGTACCTCGAGCTGGCCGATGGCGTCGCGCTCGCCACGGACGTGTACACGTCCCAGGACGCCGAGTACCATGGCCACAAGGTGCCCACGATCCTGCACCTCACGCGCCATGGCCGCGGCTACACGCTCGACTTCCCCTTTAGCAAGGTGTCGGCGCGCGGCGACTTCATCAACCCGCGTACTAACACGTACATCACCAAGTACGGTCCTTCTTCCCAAGCCTAGCAAGATCCAGTGGCTTATTTCGTATGGATTAGGTTTGTTGCCGAAGGCTACGCTTGGGTCGCCGTCGACATTCGTGGCACGGGTGCCTCGAGCGGCGTCAAGACGATGGACTTTGACGACCAAGAATCCGCGGACGCCAAGGAGGTCATCGAGTGGATCACCAAGCAGAGCTGGTCCAACGGCGACGTGACGGCGTTTGGCGTCGGCCTTGACGGTGTCTCGGCCCTCGTCATCGCGGCCGACCCGCACCCGGCGCTCAAGGCTGTGACGCTCAACGGCGTGCCGGCCGAGCTCTTTGAGAGCGTCTTGCTGCCCGGCGGCGCGCTCAACAACCACGGCACCAAGATGTTTTCGTCGTTCTGCCACGCGACTGACAACAACTACCGCTGGGAGGGCGTCCCGCACTTCAAGGCGCGTCTGATGATGAAGAGCTTTGGCGGCAACGTTTACCCGGTCAACACGTCCGAGCCGAATGTCATGGCCGCGGCCGTCGCGCCGCACAAGGCCAACCCGGTTCTCTTTGACGAACTCCAAGCGATCACGTTCCGTGACGACTCGTTCGCGACGATTCCCGCTACGTTTGAGCAGTTTGACGCGCGCCGCCTCTTTGCCAAGCTCGCCAAGTCGCCTGTCGCGATTTTGAGCGTCTCGGGCTATTTCGACACGGGCGTGACGCGCTCGTCGATCTGGCTGCACCAGTACTTGACCGGCCAGATGGAACCGGCGACGCTCGCGGCGCTCGGCTTGGACGCGGTCGAGGTCGGCGACGTGCCGGCGACCAAGTACCGTCTCATCATGGGTCCGTGGAGCCACGCCAACGTCGACAACGCCGACCCGTTTGCCGAGGCCAAGACCCGCTGCTTTGACACGATCATCGAAGTCTCGCGCTTCCTCGATTTCCACACGTACCCGGAGCGCCGCCAGGACTCGGGCATTGACGTTGAGGAGCCGATCCACTACTTCACGATGGGCGAGCAAAAGTGGAAGACGACCACGTCGTGGCCGCCGGCTCTCATTGACACGACGCAGACGCTCTACTTTAGCGACGAAAAGACGATGGTCGAAGACATTAGCGAGGTGGTTGACGGCGAGCAGGCGCTCGACATCAAGGCGGGCTCCGAGTCGCTTCCGGGTGTCACGACGCGCTGGCACTTCCTCGACCACATCTTCCTCAACAAGCCGTCGTACGCGCACAACCGTGACGGCCTCGAGAAGGATCTTATCTCGTTCGTGTCGCCGCCGCTGCACCAGGCCGAGCTCACGGGTGAGATGACGCTCAAGGTCTACTTCTCGGCCAACAAGCCCGTCGTGAACCTCTTTGCGTACCTCGAAGACGTCAACAGCGTCGCGCCCATTGACCAGCGCATGATTGCCGGCGCCAAGGTGCGCGGCGGCATCACGTACATCACCGAAGGCAACGTCAACCCGATGCACTCGTCGATCGCGCCGGGCTCGCCGCTCCGCACGTTCCGCAAGGCTGACGCCCGCGTCATCGAGCCCGAGATCATCTACGAGGCGACGTTCAACTTTCTCCCGACGTCGTACCTCCTCCCGCACGACCACCAGCTCCGCGTCACGATCGCGGGCTCCGAGTACCCGTCGTTTGCGGTCCGCGATAGCGAGAACCTCGCGACCAAGCTCACGATCCACTACGGCGCCCAGTACCCGTCGTCGCTCACGATCAAGTCGCACGAGATTGAGCTGCCCGTCAAGATGGCGCTGGTTGAAGACGACGTCAAGACCGCCGCGCCGGTCAAGGACGAAGACGAGTTTGCCGAGAAGATCGAGCTTTAGATAAGAGCGCCTCCTTCGTGTACCCTTGGACTGCATACATGTGAGATTATAAATATACGTTATCGCTTGCGCCGTGCATATCCCCTGCGAGCTGTGCAGCCAAACGACGCGATCGCCATTCGCGCTGCCCTGTCGCGATGTTACAGCCCCGCTGACGTCACTTGCACTGCGACCGCCGTCGTCCGTCGCGATATGTACCCGCCTCGCCCGTGGCCATGCGCCTTGGGTAGGCGTTGCGCGGCCCGACGCAGGCCCTCGTTGCGGCGCCGTCGGCGAAGCCTCCGTCGCACGGCCTTGCTGCTTGCCGCGTTACTCACACCCTCCACCACGGTCGCTCGCAGTCCGGAAAAGGATTTGCCCAACCGGATGGTTTCATCCCAGTCGACAGTGCGAAGGCAGGGCGTATTTTAATGCGTGTTGACGGCTTCTACTCTATGTTTTTGTATGAGATTGCCTTTTCGACCGAATAAAATGAGCGTGGCGCTGGCACTTGGTTGCGTCAAATTCTTGTCTTGACCTTGACCGCCGAGCCGGCAGCATGATCCAGGCCCCGATCGCCGCAGCCGCGGCCCCGCGGCCCCTGTACCTGAACGAGTCCCAGCAGTCGGAGCTGTAGGCGCATGAGGTGGCGCCATGGAGGCTCATGATGGTATGTAGGTACCATACGTCGCGGAACCACGCCGTGGCCTTCCTGCAAAACTCGCTGAGCGACCTCCACGAATGGGAGTTCATCTCGGAGAAGAAGAACGTGCAGTTCTACCGGAAGAAGAGCTCGGACGGGACGACGTACACGATCAATGCCATCACGCGCATCGTCGCCGACCTCGACGACACGATGCGGACGCTCTATTGCGAAGACAGCATGGCGCTCGGCAACCTCTTCTCGCAGCTGCACGACGACACGTTCGCCGATGGCGCCGTGCTCGCGACGCTGCCCGCCAAGCGCGACCCGACCGGTACCACCGCAATGGACGCGCAGGACATTTTGACGATGCTTCTTGGTCCTAGGCGTCTGTCGTGAGCAGTGCAGCGTCAAGATGATCTCGTTCCGGCCGTTCAATGCGATGGACAAGGCGCGGCAGTACACGGTCGTCGACTATTGCACGATCCGCACGGGCAAGACTGACGAAAAGCCCGACGAGACCGGCGTCGACAACCGGCTCGGTATCCAGCTCATGTACTCGACTGACGTCGCCGAGCCACCGAAGCGGGGCCCAACCCTCGGCACGGCCAACGACATTGATTACGTGAGCCAGCTCCTTCCGTCGGGCTTCATCGTGTACCCGACGACCAAGAAGGGCGTCCTCGAAGTCATTTTCAGCTGGTCGGCGCACGACCCGCGGGGCATCTCGCGCGGCTATAAGAAGGCGATTCTGAGTCTCGTCTCGAGCGTCGCGCGGCTTGAAAACATCTTTTTGGCGCTGCGCATCGCGGCCTCGGGCTTTATCAAGAGCAAGAACTGGGTCAACGACAAGGACCGGTCCTACTGCTTTATCTGCCGCGAGTCGTTTGGCCCCTTTCGCCGGCGCCACCACTGCCGCCTCTGTGGCGACATTACCTGCTCCAAGTGCGCGACGATCACGGCCGTCAAGTTGCCCGTCGTCGGGCTCTGCCAAGTCCGCATCTGCAACCGGTGCCTCACCGAGAACGATTCGTCGCGGAGCAGCAACCCGGGCCCAGCGCCCATGGCGCCCAAGCCGACGCTCGGGTCCCTCGGCGGCCTCCCGCCCGCACCCACGTCGTCGCACCACTCGTCCTTTGACTCGAACGACGGTATCTTGGTTGCAAATTATGGTGCCATAGCATATCTGCGTAGGCCACGCGTACCACCACCACCAACACGTGCAGGTCATGGAGCGGCTCTCGCACGGCATGAGCAACCTCTCGGCCGTGCCCAACTGCATCGACTCGGACGATGATAGCGACGAAATGTCGATTTCCGGTGACCTCTCGGCGTCGGCCGCGTCCTCGTCCGTCATGGGCTCCCGGTACGCTTGGGACACGCGTTTGTCATCCGCTAAAATCTCAAACAACGCGTAGGTCCATGTCGTCGTCGCTGGCGACGTCCAACATGGGGTCGTTCTCGCAGACTGCGAACGGCAAGATGGGTGGTACCATCGAAGAGTCGTTTGACGAAGCCGACGAGTTGACGGGCAACTCGGCCGACTTTATTCCGCTCAACATGGTCTCGCACGCGTCGTCGTCGATGCCGGTCAAGCCATTTTTGTACAAACTCGCGTACGCAGACAAGCAAAAGTGGCCATTGGCGCCGATCCCGTCGGACGAAGCGCCGCGCCTCCGCAAGCTCGACGAGCTGCGTATTCTCGACACGCCCATGGAGCAGGTACACGCATGTTGATGGCACGATACCAATGCCATCATAGGAATTCAACCACATTGCACAGTCGGCCGCCGAAGCTCTCGGTACGGCGTTTGGCTTTGTCAGCTTTGTCGACGACAAGCGCGAGTGGGTCAAGGCGTGCTACGGCATGGCCGCGTCCGCCGCCGTCCCCCGCGATATCTCGCTCACGGCCCACGCCATCATGTCGTACGAGGTACCGCGGATGAACCCTCTTCGATGTTGATTCTGACGCGACGGCATATCGTTAGGTCATGGCCGTGCCCAACCTAACGCTGGACGTTCGCTTCAAGGACAACCCGCTCGTGACCGAGAACGGCCTCCGGTAGAGCTTGGACGTTCCTGGCGAGCTCTGAACGTGTGCCTGTAGTTTCTTTGTGGGCTTCCCGCTCGTCACGAACGACGGCTTTATTGTCGGCGCACTCGCCGTGGCGGATACGAAGGTTAAGGACGGGATCACGCAGGGCCAGGTCGCGACGATGAAGCGCCTCTCGAACCACGTGACGCGGCTCTTGGAAGAGCGCGCGCACTACGTCAACCCCGTCGGGTACTCGAACGTCCAAGCGCCGCCGACGACGTACTCGTCGAACGCGGCGCAGGCCAACATCCACAATGCGCTGCTGGACCTCCTCAAGAAGACGGAGGCCACTGGCAAGACCCTCCAGCAGACGCAGAGCATGATGAACCAGTCGGCCAAGCGCGACGCCTGAGCGCGCCCTAGATACGTATGATGTACTACTCGTGTGTTTTTGATGACGCTTCGTCTTCGCCAGCCCATGTGCTCGTTTCCAGAAACCAGATCTGAGCAACCAGATCTGAGCAACCAGATCTGAGCAACCAGATCTGAGCAACCAGATATCTGAGATACACCAAATCCTAGCCCTGGATCCGAGAAACGGCCGCAGAAAGGGCACCACAGGGTCGATCGTCTGGCGGCCGTTCCTCCTCGACGCCACCTGCGTATAGCCTCGGAACACGGCCATTGACTTGGGCGCAGTATGCCAAACGTGTCCAAATGACTCGACACCACAGGGACATGTTGCCCTTGAGCGCAACGTTGGCTTGTGGTTGGTCGGCGCCCACCAGCTGGCAAAGGGCCATCACGGAACGCCATTGCTCATTCCTCGAAAGAGAACCACAGACGCAAACGAACGGATGGTGCGCTACGTGGAGACGGTGTCGGCGCTGCCGACCGAGACGCTGCCGACTGTCCTGCTCATCGGCACGACCGAGACGCCCGGCGTGTCCCTTGCCGAGCGCGTCCTTGCGCACCTTGCTGGCGGGGCGCTCGAGCCCGAGACGGTCGCGCTCGTCGCGCATGCGATCGCCGAGCTGTCGCCGTCGACCGACAACGCGGCGTCGGCGCACCTCTACGTGCCGCTGGACGATGACAAGATGCTGAGCCTTGTCGTTGCGCAGCTCCCGACAGCGGTCTCGCGCCACAACTCGGAGGCGCGCCCGCATGCGATCATGGCGCTTGTCAAGGCCCACGCTGCCGACGTCGAGGCGGACACGGTCGTTGCGCTCTCGCTGCCCAACCAGTCGGCGACGTGGGTCGCGGCGGGTACGGCCGTCGCCAAGGCGATGCCTGCCTACTTCCACAAGTCGACCAAGGCGCTCCGTGGCGTCATCACGACGGGCGAGGGCACTGCGTTCGCGGCTGACTCTACGCTCGTGGTCTTTGACGAGCGCTTGACGCCCGAGCAGGTCACGTACCTCGAGTGCTCGGCCGACGGTATCCACCTCGCGCAGCGCCTCGTGGACGCGCCGCCGAACGAGCTCAACACGACGACGTTTGTCGCCGAGGCCGCGGCCGTCGCCGCCCGCACGGGCGCCGAGCTCACGGTTATCGAAGGCGAGCAGCTTCGCGAGCGCGGCTTCGGCGGCCTCTACGGCGTCGGCCAGGCCGCAGCGCACCCACCGGCGCTTGTTGTGCTGAGCCACTACCCGAGTGAAGAGTCCAAGACGAAGCCGTCGCGCGTGCTCGTCGGCAAGGGCATCGTGTACGACACGGGTGGTCTCTCGCTCAAGATCTCGGGCGGTATGGTCGGCATGAAGGACGACATGGGCGGCGCCGCCGGCCTCCTCGGTGCTTTCTTGGCGACGGTGACCTCGGGCGCCGCCGGCACCGAGTTGCCGCTGCACTGCATCCTCTGCCTCGCCGAGAACGCGGTCGGCCCGAACGCGACGCGACCGGACGACATCCACACCATGTACTCGGGCAAGACGGTCGAGATCAACAACACGGACGCCGAAGGGCGCTTGGTGCTCGCGGACGGCGTCGCGTACGCGGTCGCGCATCTGAGCCCGGCGTTCTTGCTCGACATGGCGACGCTCACGGGCGCCGCTGGCATCGTCACGGGCGCCAAGATCGGCGCCATGTACGCCAACACGGACGACATTGAGGCGTTTGGGTCTGCGGCTGGCAAGACGTCCGGCGACCTCGTCCACCCGGTGCCGTACGTCCCCGAGTTTTACCGCCCCGAGTACAAGAGCCCGGTGGCCGACATGAAGAATTTGATGGCCAACACGCGCAACGCTGGCGTCTCGTGCGGCGGCCAGTTCATCGCAAACCACATGGCCGACTTTGTCGACGGCGACGGCCAGTGGATGCACGTTGACATGGGCTTTCCTGTCGCCCACGACGACCACCGCGCGACCGGCTACGGCGTCGGGTTGCTCATGGCGCTCTTCACGGACCTCAACGCGTCGGCGACCTTTTAAAGCCATCCCTGGGTAGAGGTAGTAACACTGTGAAGGATACATAATACATGAAACATTGTCCTTCCTCTGGTCGCACGTTCATACCGGTATTACCGCGGTGAGCTCGAAGCTACGAGAGCGTGCCACGTGGTTTATCCGGATAAAATATCAAAATATCGGATTCGAGAATGCCACGCGAGAGCCGACTTGAGGCTGGCGGTCGTCGCCTTGGACGGCGTGCGTGTAGCGGTCGTCCAGTGTATGGCTTCGCCCAGTGACGTGCTAGCATTGCTCCAAGCGCTTGTTGCATCGGCGGTGGAGCTTCCACCAGTGCTATTGGCGCTGCGGGTGCTGCTGACAACGCCCCGACTGCGTCGCACCCGATCTCTGACCTCGCATGCACCTCGCGGGGATCGCTGACGACGAGATCCACCTCGTAGCGGCGGCCATGTCTCTCGTTCCCTCGATCGGCATCGACGGTCCGTTTGGCAGGGATCGCTCGCCGACGAGCGAAAAAGCCAAACTCGGTTTGTTCACCGACCCCTTCTGCGCTTTCGTCGCGCAGTGGACGTTCAAGGTGCACGAGCTGAGTCTCTTGTCGCGTCCAGAAAAGAACCCAAGCGACTGTTACGACCTGCTTGGTCTCTGCATCAGCCTGCAGACAGCGGTGCTCTCGAGCAACTGGCTGGCGCTCGCGGCCATATCGACGTCGGCGCATCACGTCAGCGACCTCTCACTCCTCAACGCCAGCCACAACGCCGATGGTCTCCCGTTTGATTGGACAGAAAGCTTGGGTCCGTGGCTCGAGTCGGCCCACGCCAAGCGCTTGCGCCTCTCTTCCTTTGCGTCGACGGACGACCTTGGCCTCGCCCGAGCAATAGCAAAGACGCGGACACTCACCGCAATTGCATCTCGATGACGCCGACGATGTCATCAGCGGTCTCTTTGCCAATCATCTGCCTTTGAACTACCTCACGCACCTCGGGCTTCTCGCTTGCCGCGACCCGATCTTGGGCGACATGGCGGCGCTTCTCGAACCCGCTGTGATTGAATCCATTCGCTTTCAGAGCTACTGCCTCGAAGAGATGACCGGCTTTGTCATGACCTTGCCGCTCTTCCCGCGGCTGGCCGTGGTCGACATCACTGGAGTTTCGCTTGGTGGCCACTCTGCAGCGCCGCTGTCAACCACGAAGACGCTCCGAGTGGTGCTGTTCCGAGCTATTTCGTGGTCGGCGAACGCCTTGGCCACGCTCCTCGACTGGATGGCGCGCGCAGATGTCCTCGAGTGCTCGAAGTGGACCGGCTCTGAGATGGTCGGCGCCAACTGTGACCTTGTTGGCCGCGCGTTGCGTTGCTGGATTGCCACGGGTGCGCTTCGGTGTTGCAGCATTGCTGACGACGGCGTGCGGCGACTGGCATTCGCCGTCTGCGACGTCCACCGCGTACGCAGCTCAAGCTGGATCTCAGCGTCAATAGCTTTGGCTGCGACGGTCTGCAGGTGCTTCTCGACGCGCTTGCACCGAGCTCCAACATTGTCGTACTCACGTGAGTTGCCAGATGTCATTGCTGGACGTGGCGTCGCCATCGACACCGCCATGCCAACGACCCTGCAGCTAACAGCACCTATGCACTGATCTCAATGTGGACAATACTGGCCCATGCATGCGACGTTTTACTCCCCAAGACAGGCGCCAGAGCACAGTAACGTCCATCATCAGCTCATCAGCGTGCAGGCGCAACGTTGCTCATGACGACGACGAGGTCGGCCTCCGGTTGGGTGTAGGCAGCACCATCATGTGGAGCTGGGTTCGACTCCCAGCCGGCCATATCATTTTATATGAAATGGGCATCGCCGAAGAGATGGCGCAGCAGCAAGTGTCATTATTGTACACAAAAGCTGGTTGAGATTCGACCACCTCGGTTTTATGTCTATTTCCACGCAACTCCAAATTTGACAGTGGACGGATGGTGCGGTACTTGGCCAACGTCGGCCGGATCGCCCGCGCCACTGCGCTGCCCAAGGTCGTCCTCATTGGTACAAAGGAGACAAACAGCTTGGACCTTGGCTCAAAGATCCTCGCGCAGCTCAAGCGCGAGGCTCGCCCGTTGGACCCGCTGGCGCGCCGGCTCTTGGCGCACACGATCGACGAGCTTCGCCCGACCGCAGACGTGCCAGTCTCGGCGCACGTCTACCTGCCGCTCGGCGACGACGACGGCATTGTAAGCTGCACGGTCGCCACGCTGCCGACAGCGATCTCACGCCACAATGCCTTTGCCCGCCCGCACGCCATTTCGAGCATCGTCAAAGCCCACATGGCCGACGCGGGGCGGACGCTCGTGGGCGTGGACCTCCCGTCGCACGCAACGTTGCAGCCGTGGAAGACAGCCGGCTTTGCCGTCGCGCGCGCGATCCCAACGTACAAGCACACGTCGACGACGCGCGCCGGCGTCATCACGGACGGCGTCGCAACTTCGATTCCTGCCGACGACGTCGACGTGGTCTTTAGCCACGACCTCTCGGCCAATGAGGTGGCCTTTCTGAACGCGACCGCCGACGGCATCCACCTCGCGCAGCGTCTCGTCGACGCGCCGCCCAATGAGCTCACGACTGAGACGTTTGTCGAAGAAGCCCGCGCGGTCGCAACTCGCATTGGCGCCGAGTTTACGCTCATCCAAGGCACTGAGCTGCGCGACCGCGGCTTTGGTGGGCTCTACAACGTCGGGAAGGCGTCTTTGCACCCGCCAGCGCTCGCGGTGCTGAGCTACTACCCGAATGACGCCTCCCGCACGGAACGCAGCATTGCGCTCGTGGGCAAAGGCCTCGTGTACGACACGGGCGGCCTCGACCTCAAGGTCGGCGGGCACATGGCGGGCATGAAGGCCGACATGGGCGGCGCGGCCGGGCTCCTCGGGGCCTTTGACGCCGCTGTGCGCTCGGGCAACGTGCGTACCCGACCACTGCACTGCATCCTCTGCATCGCCGAGAACGCGGTCGGCCCGAACGCGACCCGGCCGGACGAAGTACATACGTTCTACTCGGGCAAGACGGTCGAGGTCAACGACACGGACGCCGAAGGCCGCTTGGTGCTCGCGGACGGCGTCGCGTACGCGGTCAAGCACCTCCACCCGGCGCTGTTGCTGGACATGGCGACGCTCACGGGTGCCCAAGGCATTGCAACAGGGTCCCACATGGGCGCGCTGTACACCAACACGGACGACCTCGAGGCGATGGCGGTCGCGGCCGGCAAGGCGTCCGGCGACTTGGTCCACCCTGTGCCGTACGTCCCCGAGTTTTTCCGCCCCGAGTACAAGAGCCACGTGGCCGACATGAAGAATTATATGAGCAACCCGCGCAACGCCGGTGTCTCGTGCGGCGGCCAGTTCATCGCAAACCACATGACCGACTATCTCGACGGCGACGGCCAGTGGATGCACATTGACATGGCGTCGCCCGTTGAGCACAGCGACAAGCGCGCAACGGGCTACGGCGTCGGCTTTGTCCAGTCGCTTCTCGAGCAGCTTCACAAGCTGTAGGTAGCACCAACAATTACGGACTCAAGTGAGCGCCATGAAGCCTAAAAAGTTACTTTTCCCGAATGTCATGTGTCTTGTGAACCGCACCAAACCTCTGGCACAACTGCTGCCAGCAGCCTTTGGCTACCACTCAGACCTAGGCCGTCGGTATATCCTAGACGATGGCGATGCCAAGTAGTGTCCCAGAGCCACACGCGGGTCGTTCGCGGACGAGCTACAGTACACGCTTGGTGGCAATGTTCTTGATCGCAGACAGAGAAGTTCGGAGTTCACAAACGACACGAGTCAACAACGTGCCCTCTCGATCGAAGACGACGCCGCAGAGGACATTCCTTTTCGAACATACTATAGCAGCAGCGACACGTCGTCTTCGACTTCGAAGCTCTAAGCTTGGTCCAAAAGCTTGAAGATCGGCTTCACTTACATGCTGTATGCAAGGGTGTGTCGAGCCGCTCGCTCTTGTTCGAAAGAGTCTTCTTGATGTTCGCAACTTGGTTGATTTGTGATCTACGCAAGAGACTGTTGTCGAAGGATACACAACTTTGAATGGGATTGTAGACACCACGCAGCGTGTGCTCAAGCCTCACATTTCCATTTCCTCGACGAGAACGACTCGACCCATGCGCACCAGTGTCCTTCTTGCGCTTTGCCTCGCAGTCAACAGCGCGACAGTCGACGAGCTGCCGACGTCGACCGTGTGCACGTCGATCGAGCGCGGCGTCGACTATACGTACAACGACATCAAGTACGAATTCGTGTACGGCTCGGATCAAGAAAAGCTGGACAAATGCTGCAAGTTCTGCTCGACGCTCGACGACTGCCGCGGTTTCATCGTCTCCGACACCAAATGTTGGCTCAAGAGCCTCATGAGCAACAAGACGCCGTCTCGCCCCGACGTACTCGCGGGCCTGTACAGTGCGCCCAACCCAGCACTCCGCTCGTGCTAAGCGTCTGCACTCCATTTTGCACTTGACTTGCACGTTTTCCTAAAGCATGATCTGAAATAAACATTCGACTTGACGCTTCTTAGTCGGTGCTTCGCTTAGCCATGTGTGTGAACCGAGTAGCGATATCGGCGGAAGCTGCTCGAGTCCTGCGATGCTGATCACGTTGTCCCTGGTGGTGGCTTCTCGAATTTGCGAATTCGGGAGATCGTAAATTCGAGCGGTGATTGGGTATAAATGGGGAGATTAGTAGCCATTTGCACCAATCCGCACTCGGTATTCCCATCACTGGATTGGCGAGGTTCATTTCCGAAGCAACCCGACGTCTTGACACGATGGCGTCCTTCTTCCGTCGTTCGATGCTCCGCCCGACAGCGCTGCGCTCTGCCGCCCTCGGCCTTTCGGCCATCACCAGCGTCGCCATGTGCGAGGCCGAGGCCAAGCCTGCCAAGAAGATGGAGTTCGTCGGTGTCTTCCTCGACGCCAAGTCGCGCAAGCAGCTCGAGGAGCGCTTCGCCGCCGTCCATGCCAAGATCCCGGACCAAAGCACGGTTGTGCTCAAGTACAACCCGACGGCCGACGAGCTCAGCACGTTTGCACCCATCATGGGCCACAACGTCAAGGTAGGCAGGCGCCCGCCGCATCTCAATTCTTATTGCTGCATGCAGATTGAAGTCAAGGCGCTCGCCCAAGACGAACACACGCAGGCGGTATGGCAATTCTCCTCGCGCTCTTGTTCAACGGTACCAACGATCCTGTAGGCGGTGGTCGCGGTCTCGACGGAACACGGCGCCGTGCAGTACGCGGTCGAGTGCCCCCACGTGACGCTCTCGTACTCTGGCGAAGAAGGCTACTCGCAGGCGTACGCCAACGTCCTCTTTGAGCGCCTCCAGAAGACGGGCAGCTTGACGCTTGAGGAGACGGACGAGGGCATCAACGTCGGCCTTGGCGCGTTTGAAGGCGAGCTCACGGCATTCGACTCGAAGCTCTTTCCCTTTTACAGGTACGACGACGACGACGACGATCAACGTGGTAGACGGCTTTTCTGCGTAGTCCGTTTCCGGCGACGTCGGCCAAGATGACGGTGCTGGACGAGCCGCTCGTGCTCTCGGGTGTCGTGTGCAGCTCGACCGGCTACGACGCCGAGACCGAGTCGTGCATCGCCACCGAGATCAAGAAGCCCGAGTGCGGCTTTTGCAAGTTTATGAAGGCGGGCCCGTGCGGCAAGCAGTTTACGGCCTGGGAGGCCTGCCTCGACGAGTCCAAGGCCAACGGTTCGAACCCGTTTGATCGCCGCTTTTTGCCTTATCTGAAGTCTAGGCGAAGACTTCTTGGAAAAGTGTGGTGGTGTGACCCTCCTCTTGCGCGACTGCGTCGACGCCAACCCCGAGTACTACAGCGTGCTGAACGAGCCGCCCGAGTCGGCCGACGACGACACCGACGAGGCGTTTGATGCGTAAGCCACTCCCGAGATCCCGCGAAATAGATACACATGCTCATACACACTTTCTCTTTCATTGTCATTCGCATCCTCCGACGCACGCAGCAACGCTCTCGGTTACTGCAACGCAAAGCCCGGTGCGCTACTCGTCATGCTCGCGCGGGCGTGGAACTGCGTGGCGACGGCGCTGCCCCGGCGGTCGGGCGTCTGCAGCACGGGCGCGTCGTCGTCACCGAGGGTCGGGCACGGATGGTCGGCGTCCGGCACCGCGGGCGTCTTGGCGTCATGGAGCTGCAAATACCGCGCGCGTGCCACGAGCCCGACCACGAGCAAGCCCAAGATAGTTGCGGCCGCAATCTCGATGATGACAGCAGCCGATACCTGCTCGTCCGACAAAGTCGGCTTGACGCTCAAGAACGAGATGGTGTTTTGGAGTCCTATCGCCGCGCCCACCGGTGTGCAGATGTGGACAGCCGGGTTGTACCCGGTCCCAAACCTGCCGCAACGAGTGAGTCACCCGGACTGTGGTGGCAGTCTCGTACCGGGGCGGCGTGTTGGCGCGGATGCGCCCGCACGCCGACGGCACAAAGGTCGACGGCAGCGAGCAGTTTGTGCACGCTGGGTCTTGCTGGCCGGTGATCGTCACGGGGTAGTACTCGTAGAGCGTGTACTTGGCCGTGCCGTCCGTGGGCGCCCAGCCGTAGCCAACGACCTACAGCACCGAGTTTGACCTTTTGTCGCGATTGGTGGTGACGCACCGTCGTCGCCATGCAGCCGACCGAGGTTGGACCAAACACGGCATTGTACTTGACCCAGTAGGCTTCGAGGAGCCCGGTCGCGGCGTCGAGCACGTACGTGGCGTCGCACTGGACGTCGCCGCACCCGGCGTCGTTGCAGTTGCGGACGCGGACGCCATAGCCGGGAAACCCCGAGTACGGCTTGGTCGAGTCAAAGTGCTCGCCAAAGTTGAGCGTATGCTGCGCGCACTCGGCGCAGGGCGACCCGGGAAGGCTCCCAGCGCCGAGCGTATACGGCATCGTATCGATTCCCGCTGCGTTCAGACTGAACCGGTCGTAGTTGCGCTGGCACCCGACGCTGCTGGCGACACCCGGTAGTAGCGTGTAGTACTTGGCCGGCTGGCCGCGCCAAAACCACTAGGTCCCACCGCGCATCAATACCACGTGAGCCATGGACATTGGAGCGCAGGCACCTGCGGGTGCGACGCGAGCTGCGAAATACGGCCCGGCGCCGTGTCGACGCCGACCATGGGCGCGCCATTGCCCGGCGCAATGACCTTGCACGTCGCAATCGGCTTGGGCAAGTAGCTCTTGATGAACGACGTGTTGAGGCCCGAGACGCACAGCGGCTGTGACGGCGCGTCGACGACGACGGTGCCGTTGGCACAGAAGAGACCGCCGCGCGCGGTCGCTGGCGAGCTCGGCGGGCAGAGCGACGTGAACGGAAGGCAGTCGGACGACGACCAGCCATTGGATGACGGGAGGTACGGCAGTGCGCACGCATACGGGCAGCGCATGCCACTGCCGCAGGCTTCGTCCATTGCAAAGCCCGCGTTGGCATTCGAGGCTGCGGGGCAGTTGACGTACTGCAATCGGGTGTCGAGGCCGGTGTCGAGACGACAGTATTCCTTGCTCGCCGGCGGCACGTAACATGCGGTCGTCGCATCGTTCGCACTGCAGACGCGGGGCTGCGGCGGCGCGGTCGTCGGAGCCAACGTCGTCGGCGTCGGTAGGAGCGCCGAGCCGCCCCCGGCGCTCGCTGAACCCGCACCTGATTTCTCTCTGGGCACCGCCGTGGCGCTGTTGTCATCCGTCGATGTCTCTACCGGTGTCGGTGATGCTACGGGTCGCGCAGTGTATGTGGTCATGTCGCCGCCGGCCGTGTCGGCTGCGATGGTGCTCGGCGCCGACGATGGCCCTGCCGAGACGCTGCCGACGATCGCAGCGACGACAATGCACAAGGCCAAGAGCGTGATGAGCGCCATGAGCAGCAGCCGCTTGCGCTTGTTGGCGAGCATCGAGTGCACCGCGTCTCGGAGTGTCGTCGGCATCGGCAGCAGTTACTCAAGTTCGTTTGAAACTATGGAAAGGCAGCAACACTGCGCCAAAAAGTATCCGACAATCCTGTCCGACATTTCACGAAACGAGTGACGCAATAGCACGCCAGTATTGAGGCGCACCGAAAAGGCTCGGGATACACCGAGACTGATGAATAAAGCAGCTAGTGTTCTCGATGACATGTGCCAAGCTTCTCTGCTAGTCGTGAGATACCGTCA